TGGAGTTAAGACCGTTGAATGCATGTAATGGTGACTCTGTTTGGATTGTGTTATGGACTCGTGTATCGAATAAGGTGCTCATGTGGGAAATGAAAAGCAGTTGGTCCTCCATGTCGAAATCATCAAAATCTTAAACATGGGGTAAGCCAAACGTGTGTGGCGCCGTTCATTGCGCAAAATCGGGTTTTGGAGGAGATTATAGTGATCCTTAGTGGGGTACACCTACAAGGTGAAGCTAAACTGTCTCTAGTACAAGTAAAACTTCCACCCGTTGAACGGTTTGCCTACTCGAGGATGTGTTTTTATGGGCACAGATAGACCTTCCGACCCCCCTTAATTTCATTGACCCTCCACACGAGTTGAGGAAAAGGAGTTAAAAGAAGTACTCTGGCGAGCGCCAGATGTACAGAAATTGCTCTTGCTCGACTAGTAAGGGTCGACCATGCAAAAGACTTCAGTTGGAACCCCACCAAATGAAAGAGAAAAGAAAAAAATGTGTAAAGGAAAGTGAGAAAAAGGGGTTCCAACGGTGAAATGAAGTGAAAGAGCACCTCGGTACCACGAGTCCTTGGTTGTGAATGGTGTGAGTCCCTTTATCCATGAACTGACTGTCTTACTTCCACTTCTTCTCATGATCCTGGTTTGAGTCTAGTACTCGCATTGAGAGAGATAGGGAACGTCTTAGAAGACTAGTTGACCTCGTAAGCTGCTATATGATCTAGGAAATCTTCTACCGACGATCGGGGTTGTTTGTTGCTATAGAGGTCTGGAGAGTTGCATTGGTTTGATTTAGGTTTACTTGGGGACAAGCAAACGGTTAAGTGTGGGGGAATTTGATAGACCATTGATTGCACATGTTTTTACCCCTATTATTGAGCCGTTTGAGATGTCGATTCTCGCGTTTTAGGCTGATTTTATGCTAGGTTGTTCATGTTTGTGATATTTCAGGTCCTAGTACGTGAATGAAGGCTTGGAAACGAGTTCGGGGTCTATTGGACGAAGATGGACATTTGGCGAGAAGCTAATGGAGCCACACGGGCACGCTTAAAAACCTACATGACCGTGTGACCTGGCCGTGTGACATCAAATTGCACGGGAAAAATCACACGGGCCGTGTAGGGGACCCCTTGTGGCCGTGTGGAAATTCCAGGGAACTCACACGGGCAGCCTGGAAATCCACACGACCGTGTGGTTTTGGCCGTGCAGCAGGCCTGGAAGTCACTTAATCAAAACTCCGCGTTTTGGCACTCACACGGGCAACTGGGAAAGTCACACGACTGTGTGGCCTAGCCCTGTGATCAGGAATTTCAGGGTTTTAACCCAATTTCCAGCCAAAGGAGTGGGGGTTCGGAGTTTTAGAGAGAAAAAGCGATACCTAGAGAGAGAAAGTGACGAACCTGACTCTGCAAGTGTCGTTGATCGATCTCCATCACCATTGGAGCGAGACTTGAGCTTGGAGAAGACCTGATTGAGTGCCAGAAGCAGATTCCCATCCTTCACAGTATGGTTTCCGCATCTAAGCTAGATTTTCCATCTCTCTCTATGGAGTAACTTTCTTATTCAAATTCCTGTTGTTTCTGCTTTAACCTAGAAAGAGAATATATGCCTAGGTTGATAGAGCACCCTTGATTGAAGGTAGTGAATTGGCGACTTTAGTCGAGAAGTCAATTCACTATTCTGTACCGAATTTACTTCGGTAGTGGGGGTTTGGTTCGTTAGGGCCTCAATCTGTTTACTCCGGTGGAGGTTAGTCGCCCGCTGGATACTCAGATTGAGAAGGTCTGGAGACCTTTAGTCGAGACTTCAGACTGTTTAAGAACCTCCCGTAGTATAACTATCATTGAAACTGAACTTGGTAAATTACAATCCGGCTTAACTGTAGTCTAGGGGGGAACATATCCGGGTGACCTCTCTCGACTTGGAAACAAACTTTTTACTTGCTTTGGTTGTTTTCTTGTTTGGATTTTCACTTAAGTTTCACTGCTAAATAATAAGAACTCACGGAGTAGTCATCACATCTAGGACCCGGGTTGACATTAAAACCCAAACCCACTATACTACGCTTTAGGAAGTGGTTACACTTGACCATTTTCTAGAGTGACGGTAAGAGCGAGTCATGTAGCTGTGGTTTCCTTCCCATATAGTGTCCATAGATCCCCGCGAGTTGTGGATGAAAGTTTTCAATGTGGAATGTGACGCCTCAACCCTGTTTGTGCTCGTATTTCCTAGATGAAACACATTTTTGGTATGACAAACTGCCCACTTCTCTTGATGTTGCCACCACACTCCCTATATGTATTGCAACATACGTGGTTCGTAATTGCTCCATCTTGCCCTAAAGCGGCCAAACGCGGCCAACATACCTTGCTCGGACCAAGAATAAAGCATAGGACACCAACCTTGATCGTAAGCCTTGTTGACCAAATCCATCCTGTCCTTCCCAAATATTTCCAAAAACTTCTTCTTCACATTATTGTTGATGTGCCAAACACATAGCAAATGCGGGATGCGGGGGAAGACCACAGAAATTGTAGCAAGTAGTCGACCTTCGTGGTCGGTGACGATGGCAGTGGGCACGCGTGGATGGAGCAACTGTTTTATGCACTCCAACATCCAATGATACGCCTCTTTTGTCTCCTCCTTCATGAGAGCACAACATATGTTGAAATTCTTCCCAACAGGAGTAGCACCTATGACCTCCACCCACGGCATTTTATACGCATTGGTCTTATATGTTGAGTCGATCAGAATCACGTACAGCCAAGCCTTCAACATCTGGATGGAAGTTGGATGGGCAAAAAAAAAGATGGGTAAGCACGTCGTTATCGTCCTTCATAACCTCTATATGATAATTCTCACGTTCAGCTCCTTGCAACGCATACTGCACTGCATTCATCTCGCCCATCTCGTCTTTCCTAGACTTGGACCTGAGGTTATACATTTTCCTTTTGGTGTGATGCCCTTTGTCACCCTTCTGCATGTTTATTGTCTCCTTCTGTTGCGACGGAGGTACCCCAACATCTCTCATCTGCTTCATTTGACTGTGGCCCTCCAGATAAAGCATCTTCTCATGATTGTGATACCCTCGCCTTAAACAGGTTTCTTGCTTCCTCACTTCTTGTATCTCGCAGAATGAAGGTCCATCAAGAGCATCTAGATCAACCAGTAGTTCTTTGATTTTAACCTTGAACATGCAATTAGACCCTTTTGAACTTGTATTGTCACGACTCTCCATGGAAGGATCCGGCTTGTATGACTTCCTCTCTGATAACGATGTAATTGCACATATTTGCGCCCCTAGTTCTTATCTGTTTGAGGGGCATAGTCGTGTATTTTTGGCCTATTTTACGCCGGGTTGTGCTATTTTGTCATATTTCAGGTCCCAAGCGTCAAAGGAAGGCTAAGCACGAGTTTCGGGGCATTCGGAAGTCATTTCGTCGAGCTGGAGCCAAAACACAGGCACACCTAAAACAGAACATGGCCGTGTTCTGTGGCAGTGCTTTTACTGCCGAGAGCTAATTGAGTTTGGCAAATTCAAGCTGCAAACACGGGCTGAAAGCACGGCCGTGTCCACCAAAGCACGGCCGTGTCCTCCCAAAAGCACGGCCGTGTTTCTCCCAACACAATGGCCGTGTAATTAACCCTAGCCAAAGCACGGGCGGGCTGAGGCAAAGCACGGCCGTGCCCTCGACCGTGCTTTGGCCACTGATGCCCTTTTAAGCAGATTTCAGCCAAAACAGAAGGGGATTCGAGTTTTGAGATAGATAAAGCGATTCCTAGAGAGAGAAAGTGACGAACAAGAGTCTCCAAGTGCCCTAGCTTGATCTTCATCACCATTGGAGGCCAGTTTGAGCTTGGAGAAGTGCCGATCAACGTCCAGGAGCAGGAATCCATCCTTCACAGTATGAATTCCGCGTCTGATTCTGCTTTTGCTTCTTTCTCCATGGAGTAGTTCTCCCATTCATCTGGGTATGGAGAACCCTAGATTTGTATGTTAGGCTTTGATTGTATGAACCCAAGTACTGATTCTATGATTTAATTATGTTCAATTGAGGTTTGAATGATTGAATGGCATGAATCCTGATCAAATTCCTGTTGTTTCTGCTTTAACCTAGAATGAGAATATCTGCCTAGGTTGATAGAGCATCCTTGATTGAAGGTAGGGAGTTGGTGACTTTAGTCGAGGAGCCAACTCACTATTCTGTACCGAATTCACTTCGGTAGTGGAGGTTTTGTCTCCCGCTGGAGGTTAGTCGCCCGCTAGAGACTCAGATTGAGAGGGTCTGAAGACCTTTAGTCGAGACTTCAGGCTGTTTAAGAACCTTCCGCAGTATAACTATCATAGAAACTGAACTTGGTAATTGCAATCCGGCTTAACTGCAGTCTAGGGGGAACCATATCCGGGTGACCTCTCTTAACCTGAATACAACCGTTTACTTGCTTTGTTAGTTTGTTAGTTTAGACTTGCATTAAAGTTTCATTGCTAGATAACAAGAAGTCATTGAGTAGTCATCAAATCTAGGACCCGGGTTGACATTTAAACCCAAACCCGCTATACTACGCTTTAGGAAGTGGTTTCACTTGGCCAATTCCTAGGGTTACAGTAGAAGTGAGTCACTCTCCCTACTGCATTTGTCGCAATACATATAACACATATCCAATACTCTTTTGTTGCGCAACTCACGTGGCTTATTCGATCCCTTAATTAGAAAGAAACCAGGAGACATCGCGATGTTTTTGGTCACTATTACAGCATCTTCGAAACTATCATATCAGACGTCATTGAGAAAATTATCTGTGTAATCACCATTTAGTTCAACATTGTAAGCCATGTCCACCTGCAATTATGATTTTACAACTCGTTAGAAAGATACAAATTATATGATTCTACAAAATTAAACTAAATGCAATAATTTAATTAACTCTACAAAATAACGATAATTTGACGATAGGAAATTTAATTAAATATAAATTATTAAACCAAATTAGCTTTACCAATTAAATCTAAACACAATAAACTAATTAGCTACAACAAAACACAATCACTTAATTAAACTAATTGTGCTTCAATTGACTCTACAAAATTAAATTAAATGCAATAATTTAATTAAATCTAAAAAATAACGATATTTCTATGATAAGAAAATTAATTAAATATAAATTATTAAACCAAATTACTCTACGAATTAAATCTAAACACAATAAACTAATTAGCGCCACAACAAAACACAATCGCTTAATTCAAACTACATACTAAATTAGTTGTGTAAAATAAAAATAAAAGCAATAAGTGAAATCTAAATTATTATCTCTAGAATTAATAATAACATAATATATATCAAAATAAAAATAAAATAAAAAACACTACCGGCGTTGGTCGACGTCCGCTCGTCGGGGTCGGACAGGGTCCGCCTGAGCCGGTCGGACGGGGCAAAATACAAGAGTTTTACCTCATTCGTTGGCCCGACGATGTGGTACGGCTGCCATCCGGTTGCCGGCGACTTATGCTGACGGTGGTCAAGTAGCCGGCGACTTAGGCTGTCGTCCAGTGGCCTTGACTCCGACTATGGTGATTGTGGGTTGGTCGTCGGGTGGTGGTGTGGGTAGTTTAAAAAATCAAACCAAAGAATAGAATATAAAGAAATTTTGGAGGGCCAAAATGTCTTTTAGTTTAATTACGGGCGGCAAATAGTAATGACACGGGCGGCAAATAACACACCTCTTTTTTTTTAGAGTTAGTATTCTTCGTCCTAAATATTTGAATTTATCGCCATATAATATATTAAACTATTTTAATATCCTTGATTTAATCTTATGGTTAAGAAAGCCCAAAATAATGATTGCTAAAAACATACTCAAAGCTACATAGGAAGGAAGTGGGTTTTCTAGAGAGAGGCTTGAGAGAGAGAAAAGCTCTCCCCTCTCTCCTCTTTTCCCCCTCTTTTCTTTTAGCCGTTGTTTTGTCTTTTCTGGGTTTTGAATGGAGCCTCTAAGAGGGGCCACTGTTCCCGACCCAAAACCTCCAGATTCATCACCGACGGCGACTCCGATTCAACCTAGCAAGAAGGCAAATGCCTTCTAGAGCACTGGATTCTCTGGAGAAGGAAGCATGGATTTTGCGGTGGTCACAGCACGAGCGGAGGACGGACATGCATGTGAAGATGAAGGTAATGAAAACGTTGCCGCCTCTGCATCTGAATTGCGACCAGGAGACAACGAAGAACATGGTATGATAGGGGAGGATGGAGGACGAATCATCCTTTCTGGGGAGGGGCTCACTTTTCCTATAAAGATTCAGTCATTGGCAATCGACCATGCTTTGACCCCTCTACAGGGAAGAGCTGATGTCTGATGAGTGAGACAACGAAGAAGGAGAAGATGATCCGGAGTGTCCCATCATCCGAGTCAAGAAGAGAACTAATGCCAGAATCCCGAGCCGCTGTAATCAAGCTATTACCTTTCGCGTCTTAGGGAAGCACTTCCCCTTTGCCTATGTCCATAGGCGTGTTCAAAGAATGTGGGCTAAGACAGGGGGAGTGAAGGTTGGGGATATTGGCAATGGATACTGTCAGGTGGTGTTTGATTCACAATTAGATCATGTCAGGGCACTTTACGGCGGGCCCTGGACTATAGACGACCATTACATCGTCTCCGAACCATGGAGGCTAGATTTCGATCCTGATTATGATTCAATTAACCACATCTCAGCCTGGGTTAGACTCCCCCGACTTCCACTGGCATACTTTGATGAGGAGATCCTCGTTGATATTGGGAACAGGCTGGGGAAAGTGCATAAAATTGATTACAACACGGCTAACGGCTTTAGAGGAAACTACGCCTGGATTTGTGTTGAGATCGACTTGAGGAAAAAAATGGTCTCTAAGTACCGATTGAAGAGAAGGTTCCGTAGGGTTGAGTATCAAGGATTACATGTTGTTTGTTTTTTGTGGGCTATATGGCAACCTTGAGGAGAATTGCCCCACCAAAGCAGCTTCAGGGTGCCCGGAGGGTGAATAGAGTACGACCTCCACACTAAAGGAGCAACAAACACAGCAAGTCAAGCCTGAAATCCTTGAAGATTTTGGCCCTTGAATGGTAGCGGCAAGACCAAAAAGAAATACGAACCAGAGGAAGAGTATTGTTAATGAAGGAGCCTCCAAGAAGATCAACACTGCGGAACAAAAGAAGGACAATGGATCTCGGCTTAGTGTGCTGGTTGTCAAGGAATGAGAGATTGAGACAAAGGAGCGTATGGATTTTGAATTAACGGTTACTAGTCCCAGGAGAGGGGATAAGCAAGTTGAGGAAGCTAATAATGACCACCAGATGAAAGGGGAGAGTGGAATCTGCAGGGACGGTACAGAAGAGAACAAAGAGACATGTGGAACATAAGACCAAGGTAAGAACAAGGAGGAGAAAGTGGGAAAGGGAAACTGTGATAGGAAGGCTCCCTAGAAAATCTGGCCAGAGGCTGTTAAACAGAGGAAAGTCCCAGCAACAACAAAATTGGCTGACCCTAAACCTCAGGCATTGAAGGATGGCAAGAAATCATAGAAGGAGAAGGAAGAGTCATTATCTCAATTTGCAAGTCAAGCTAAGTCTAAGAGTGATGGAAAGAGGCCCAGTAGTTCCAGGAAACCAGGAAGCGAAAAGGGCTCTTCCAAAGACTCCAAGCCAGGACACCAGTCGAAGATGAGAACGCCAACTGCCTCATCTACAAGCTCATGTCTAGGATTGGATATCACCACCTCTCTTGGCAAAGGGATCATCATAGACAGAAATATTGATTTCTCCCTGGACCAGGGTATTGACACCAAGGTGCCAAAAAATGCAAAACCTTCCTCAGCTGATCTAATGGAGTGTGCTGCTGGAGAGGTGGAGGCGGCCAAGGCCGCTGTCCCTCGTTAACTTTCAGCCTTTGAGTTGTTCATGGAAGTTGCTAATCATTTGTCTTATGGTTAATATCTTCTCCTGGAATTGCAGGGGTGCTTAGCACTCCAAGTTTCTTCCTAGCTTTAAGCTCTTTAAGGATAATTATAACCCTGACATTGTGTGTATTCTGAAACCCAAAATCAGTGGGGAAGACGCTATAGAATGTGATCAAGTCTCTTGGATTTGATACTTGGGCAAACTCAGATGCAGTTGGTTACAGCGGAGGGATATGGGTCCTCTGGAATAGCTCTAACCTTATGATGACTGACATTAACATGAATTGCTCTATTGTGGGATGCTGTGAGAAGAATTGAGAGAGAACTACCGTTTTACCTTGGATTCTCACAGGAGATTTCAACTCCATCTCTAGACCTTGTGAGAAACAAGGAGGAGCTCCTTTCAACCATGCCAAAGTTCAAGCCTTCAACGATTGTGTTGATGATTGTGGCCTTATCGACATTGGCTTCACTAGGCCTAAGTTCACATGGTTCACCAAACACTCAAGAATCATAGAGAGGTTGGATCGCAACATTTGTAATTTGAGCTGGCAACATAAGTTCCCTGGAACCACTACAATCCATCTGCCCAAGATCAAGTCAGATCATAGGCCGATACTGACATGTACTCTCCTCCCTCAACCTATTAAGCAGAAGCTGGAAAGAAGATTCCATTTCCTTGTTTCCTGGTTGGCTCATGAGAAGTTTCCTGACTTCTTGAGGAGCACTTGGAAAAGTGGAGAGATTTTCCAGTGGCCTTGAAGTGTCTTTCGGCTGAGCTGCAGAAATGGAACAAAGATGTCTATGGAAATATTTTCAAACGAAAGAGGAAGCTGATGAATGATCTCAAGTCCTTGAAATTGCTCAATGGCAGAAGTCCTTCTACCAATTCCCTGGCTCAAGAGCAACTTAAGTGGGAGGAACTGGAGGAGACCCTCTGGAAGGAAAAGCTTCTTTGGATTCAAAAATCTAGAACCAACTGGGTGATCTTTGGTGACCTTAACACCAGATTCTTTCATGCCAGCACCATTAGCAGAAGAAAAAGGAACAAGATTACTTGCCTGCGGGATGATCAGGGAAACTGGATCACCAACACTGATACCCTTATTATCATGGCCAGGGAGTACTTTTCCCTTCTCTTTACTAAGCCTTCTTTGAATGTTAGGTCCTTGATTCCTGCTGACTTTCCTGTTATTGATGGTGACTTTCTTTCCAAGCAGTTTGTCAGCCCCAGTCTTGAGGATATTAAATCTATTGTTATGGAGATGAATGGGCTTAAGTCTCCTCGGAAAGATGGCTTCCAAGCCATTTTTTATCAGAAATGTTGGGAGGTCGTGGGAATGGACTTCTCCCTGTCCATCCTCTCCTGTTTTAGGAACCCTGATAGAATCAAACTAATCAATGAAACCCTGATCACCCTTATTCCTACCGTTGATAATCCCTCTTGTATGAGTCAATTTAGACCTATTAGCTTGTGCAATGTGGGGTATAAGGTTGTGGCTAAGCTGATTGCCAACAAGCTTAAACCTCTGATGCCTTTTTTGGTCAATAAGAATCAATCCAGTTTCATCCCCTTTAGGCATATTACTGACATGACAACATTATTATCATGCATGAGACTATACATTCTATGGCAAGGAAAAGTGGGAAGAAGGGTTTCATGTTGCTTAAAGTGGACCTTGCCAAGGCCTATGACACGATTGACTGGGACTTCCTGGAAGAAACTCTCACTGCTGCCAGAATTTCAGAAAGCTGTGTCAAACTGATCATGGAGTGTGTGTCCTCTGCTAGCTACCAAGTGCTGTGGAATGGAGGAGAAACTGAAAGCTTCACTCCCACAAGAGGCCTGAGACAGGGATGTCCTCTTTCCCCATACATGTTTACTCTTTGTGTTGAAAGGCTTAGCCACTGCATCTCTAGTGAAGTGAGAAACAATAGATTGAAACCCATTAGGCTTTCCCCAGGAGGACCTCCCTTGTCACACCTCTTCTTTGCGGATGACTTGGTCCTTTTTGTGGAAGCCAACCCCTCACAAGCTGACATTGTTTTGAACTGTCTTGATAGTTTCTGCTCTGCTTCAGGTGAAATGGTTAGCCAGAACAAATCTAGAGTGTTCTTCTCTAAGAATATTAAGATTGAAAACAGGGTGGAGATTTGTAATAGATTGGGTATCCAGGCCACCTCTGACCTAGGGAGCTACCTTGGTGTGCCTGTGATTCATGGTCGTATTACTAAGACCACCTATAAGTACATCCTGGATAGGATTGATCAGAAACTTACAAGTTGGAAAGCTAGAACTTTATCTCTTGCTGGTAGAGTCACCCTAGTTGTGTCTGTCCTTAATGCCCTTCCCACCTATGGTATGCAAACTACCTTTATGCCTGCATCTATTTGTGACACCATTGATAGAAAGGTTAGAGGGTTTGTTTGAGGCTCAGGCGATGGAAAAAAGAAGGAACACCTTGTATGTTGGGAGAACATTTGTAAAGCTGAGGATCAAGGTGGCATTGGTCTTAAATTTGCTAGGAATATGAATATGGCTTTCATGGTTAAGTTGGGATGGCATATGCTCAACAATGCTACTGATCTGTGGGTACAAATTTTGCAGGGAAATTATTTCAAGCAACGAGATGGTAATATCATTGCCATGAAGAAGAGAAATCACTCAAACCTATGGAAGGCTATTGACAAAGGAATGAATTTGATGAAGTAGGCCACTTGCTGGAGTATATGTGATGGGAAAACTACCCTCTTGTGGAACCAGCCATGGATTGACAATGATACTGTCCTTGCTGACTTTGCCACTAAGGAGATCCCTAAAGAGGAGAGGGGCACTGTTGTGGCGGATTGGACCACTGAGGAAGGTAAGTGGGACTGGGAAAGACTCAAACAAAGCCTCCCTTGCGATGTTGTGTTGACAATTGCAGGTATTGATGCCCCCGACCCTGAATTGGGAGAAGATGTCAACATCCGGGGACTTGAAAAAGATGGCAGATTCATATTGAAGTCGGCCTACAGACTGACTGCTGACCTCGAGGAGATGGAGGCTGATGGAAGATGGAAAGAGCTATGGAAATGGAAGGGACCGAGTCGGGTCAGACATTCCCTTTGGCTGGTCACTCATGATCGACTGCTCACGAACAAAGAAAGATCAAGAAGGAAGCTGACTACTGAAAATCTCTGCAACCACTGCAAAGAAGAGGAAGAGTCTATTGAGCACATCATTAGGAGTTGTAGGAAAGCTAGAGCTATTGGGGAGACTTTCCATACTAAAGATGCTACTAATAACAGGAGCATGAACTTTGAAGAGTGGATGTCCACCAACATCAAACATGAAGCAACTGCAACGGAATTTGGGATGATTTGCTGGCAGCTGTGGAAAATCAGGAATGAGGAGGTTATGGAACATCGTGCATTCTCCAAAGAGGGTGCCATTGCACGTATCAAATCCTGGTTCATCATTGTTGAACAAGCTTTTACCAATGACCAAAAAACTTCATTTTCAAGTCCGAGGAAGAAATAGTGCCACTCCATCGCCTGGAAACCACCAGAGGAAGGTTGGATTCAACTTCAATCGGACGGCTCAGTTCTTTCTCCTAGTGGAAGAGCTGCAGCCGGAGGTTTGTTCAGAGACCATCTCGGAAGATGCTTGGGAGCCTACGTCTGTAATTTCGGAAGATGCTCTATCACGGCGGCTGAACTACGAGGAGCAATGGAAGGATTGAAGATTGCTTGGAAGGAAAGACACCGCAAAATTCTGCTGAATATTGACTCCACAACGGCCATTAACATCATCAAGCATAGGGATAAGGAAGACCACCGCATGGCAGAATCGCCAGGCAATTCAACAACCTTTTGAATATGCAATGGGATGTTCGTTTATCTCATGTGTATAGGGAAGCCAATTTAGCTGCCAATTTCTTGGCTAGCAAGGCTCATGACTATGATTTTGGCACACATCCTTTCAATGTGTGTGATAGGGACTTGATCCATTGGATCAACCATGATGTTTTGGGAGTTTCCTAGGAACGTTTTGTCAAATTAATGAATTAGACGCTCTATGTCTTTGCTTTGTACAAAAAAAAAGAACAATGATTGCTCACTGGAGACAGAGATCCCTCCTCCCACGACCCTCCGGTCTCTGCCGAGAGACGGAGCCAGCTAGCTGGCGGGGGCCATGGCCCTCCCTGAGATATTAAAATATAGGTTATACCAATTGTTATTATATCTTCCACTAATACCAACTGGCTTGTGTGTTGGTTGAACATTGTTTGTGGATTGCAGATTCAGGATTCGAGTCTGCCAGCTACCATGTTTTTTAATCCTTTCATCAATCAAGAAAACTTCCTTTTATACCTATTTATCATTTTTTACCTTAAATGTACTTGATACCAAGAAAAAGGTTTGATCTAATCCATAAACACCCCTCATAATTGTCATTACCCTTTTTAGTTTTTTTATCAAGAAAACTTCATTTTATACCTATTTATCATTTTTTTACCGTAAATGTACTTGATACCAAGAAAAAGGTTTGATCTAATCCATAAACACCCCTCATAATTGTCGTTACCCTTTTTAGTTTTTTTAAAAGACCATCATTGTTGTTAACAACCTTACTAACAAAGATGTGGTCTAATTGATAAATCATGTAATTATGCTTTTCCTTTTATGGTTAAACGGTCGTCATAATCCTTATTGGAATAAAATGTGAACACAAAATTTATTTTTGTATATTTTTCACGAATCTATTGAAAAAATTTCTTTGTAAACTTACAATTTTCGAATGTTGTGCTAAATTGATTTCAATTTATAATTAAATTGTATTTTCTTATTGACGTAATGGTATTTTGATAGAAATAAAAGGTGTATTGGAAACCATAATCTTCAAATTTTTGAATGTTGTGCTAAATTGATTTTAATTTATAATTAAATTGCATGTGGTTATTGACGTAATGGTATTTTGATAGCAATAAAAGGTGTAATAGAATCAATAAATTTTATAGTAATATATTATTTTTTGTAGTTAAATTGTTGTTATTTGAATAATTATATAAATACATTTTTTTCAATTAATTATGTATTTTCACTGTCATGGAAAAAAATCCCCCCATGCCTCCGCCCACGTCAAGGAAGCCTAAAACCACTTCACTGATCACCGGCGACCACTCCCCTCCGCCAGCTCCCCACCTGAGATGATCTTGTTGAAGTATATGTACCTATATGTAATTGTCCAAGTACCAACATGTAGTTTGCCGGGTTAGGGTTAGCATAGTCGTATATATATATTGGTGTATGGCTGTACAGAGGTAAGGTGATTTTATGTGAATAAGAGTTGGCCGCCGTTCTCCGTGGACTAGTCCTAACGACAATCGTTAGGGAAACCACGTTAATCTGTGTCTCGTGTTCTCCGTGTTCTTGGTATAATTGACATGGTATTAGAGCCTGTCGATTGCTTCTCGTGATTTGGCTGGGTTCTCGTCTCTGTTAGTGCGCTTCGAGTGTTGTTCTTGCGTGCTGCCTTTGGGTTGTTGGTGCGCCATTTTTTGTGTGGCTTTGTGGCTGCTCGCAGCACTTTTGGGTGGACTCTTTTCTTCTTGTGGCTTTCGGTGTGGTTGGGTATCATGGACAGCTCCAAGAATGATGCTCTTCTTCCTCGGTTTAATGGCAAAAATTTTGCGTTATGGGAATTTCAATTCCGCCTTCATGTTCAAGGGAAGCGCCTGCTTCCTATTTTGGATGGTACCGCTAGGGCTCCAGCGGCGACAGCTTCTCAAAAAGATCAAGATGATTGGGCTGTGAATAATGCTTCGGTTATGTCATTGATGCTGAGTTCTCTCGAGCCTGGGATAGCGTTGAGTCTCCGTGGCTTTTCTACGGCGTCGCGCGATGTGGGAGCACTTGGCGAAGCTTTACTCTAAGGCTAACGCTTCGCGCAAATTTGATGTCGAGCATGACTTGGCCCAGCTGAAGCAAGGAGAGCTCTCGATCAGCTCCTATTACCAGGATGCTGTTACGTTATGGACCGAACAAGACCGGATTTTGGCCTCCTTGTCGTCCTCACCGCCCACTCCCGATGCGATCAATGAACGAGCAAGCACTCGTGTAATGCGCTTCCTCATGAACTTAAGGCCTGAGTTTGAGGGCATAAGGGCCTCTCTTCTGCATCGTGAGGTCTCAGCTGTGGAGGATGTGCTAGCTGAGCTTCTCCGTGAGGAAACGAGACTTAAGAGCCAGGCAAAGCTTGATATTCACTCTAATGGGCCTGGTCTTGCGTTTGCTGTAGGGGGAAGACCTCAATTCCATCGGCCAGCTAAAGGGGACGTGATTTGCTATCATTGCAAGGCTCCGGGCCATATTCAATTCCATTGTCCGAAGCGCAACACTTGCAATTATTGTAAGTTGGAGGGTCATCTCATTGCGGCGTGTCCGACGTTGGCCCAGCGGAGCAGGTCGCGGTCTGCCGGCTCGCGTACTAGATCTTCTCGCCCTGCTGTTGGTGGAGCCTATGCGGCTGTGAATGAGGGATCGACTTCCCGGGGTTCTTCGGGGGCTTCCATGACTCCTGAGGAGGTCCGTCGCCTTGTCCAGGATGCCTTGAAGGAGGCTCTTCCATCAGCCTTTGCTACGGGTAAGCCTTCTTCTTGTTTTCCATCGTGGCATGTAGATTCAGCGGCTTACAATCACATGACTAGCTCGACTAGTGTCTTTCGTAATCTTGATAAGTCAGCACCCGGTATTGCGTTACAAGCTGCAGATGGTAATAGAATGGAAGTTCAGGGTGTGGGTCATGTTGTGCAGCCCCGTATATCACTTCCCAATACGTTATATGTTCCTCAGCTAGTGCCAAGCCTTGTCTCTGTTGGTCAGTTAGCTGATGACGGTTGTCGCATCATATTTGATGCGGCGGGGTGTTTTGTGCAGGACACGAGGACGGGGAAGGAGCTCGGGAGGGGAAGTAAGAAAGGGCGCACCTACATGCTCGATCACTTGGATGTGCAAGCTGGTGGCGGGCAAGTTCAGGATCGATCAGTAGGGGATCCTCTCTAGGTGGCGAACTTGAAGAATAATTGTGAGAGTGATATGTCTGGTTGCAGTAGACATGATGTTTTTTCTGGTTTTTCGGTCAAATTATCGAACTGGGATCTATGGCATTTTAGATTGGGACATCCGCATTCAATGCGACTTCGTACTATGTTTCAGAATAAATGGTTATCTGGTAGTGGTTTATCTGAACAGGATCATGAATGTGTTCACTGCTTACAAGCTAAACTGTCTCAGCGTTCGTTTATGACAAGTGAGACGGTGTATTCTGAGCCATTTGAGTTAATTCACACTGATTTATGGGGGCCCTCTCCCGTTACTTCTCGCCTTGGTTTCCGCTACTTTGCGTTGTTTATTGATCACGCTACGCGCTATACCTGGGTTTTCTTTCTTCGCCAGAAGTCTGAATTGTTCTCCTGTGCTCAGGAGTTTATTCAAATGGTGTCTACGCAGTTTGGCAAAATGATTAAGATTTTGCGTTCTGATCCTGGGGGTGAGTTTACTTCGAATCCGTTACAGGCTATGTTGCGAGAGAGGGGCATTCTTGTTCAACAGTCCTGTCCTAGTGTTCCGCAGCAAAACGGCCTGGTGGAACGTAAGAATAGGCACGTTTTGGAACTTACCCGTGCCATTTTATTTCACTCGCAGGTTCCAAAGATGTTTTGGGTGGAAGCAGTTCATACGGTCGTCTATTTGATCAATCGACAAAATAACGCCAGTTCTTAGCCAACGTAGTCCGTATCAGGTTTTGTATTCACGTCTACCTAACTATGGCTGGCTCCGTGTATTTGGGTGCTCCTGCTACGTCCTTCTTGCTCAACGGGAGCGCACGAAACTCACACCTAAGGCTGTTCGGTGTGTTTTCCTCGGCTATAGCGAGAAGCACAAAGGGTACGTGTGCTATGATCCTACTGCTAGACGTATCCGAATTTCATGTCACATAGTTTTTCTTGAGCACGTGCCGTATTATGGGTCCGCGACTACAGACGTTTCCTCATGCATGGACTTGGAATTCTTACGTCCATATGATTATTCCACTCCTAGTTTAGCACCAGCGGAGGAAGGTGATGAGCTAGACACTTTAGAGCATGGTCCAAGTTCCAATTCTTCAGAGGGGTCCTCGCATTCTTCCACTTCTTCTGCTGGGTCTTCTTTCACTTCGCCCTCGTCGCCCTCTTTATCAAGTAGTACTGATTCCGACTCTGGGACACCGTCGTCCTCCTCAGAATCCTCTCAAGACATGGCTGGTTCGCAGGCCGATCCTCCTGATAGCCCTCCCCCTGTTCGTCGGTCTACCAGGGTGAACAAAGGTGTCCCGCCACTCCGTCATTCCGAGTTTGTTGCTTTTTCCACTCCGTCAATTGTGGTGCCAGCTACTTACAAGCAGGCTCGGGGCATCGAGCATTGGGAGAAGGCTATGGATGTGGAGAAGGATGCTCTTGATGCTGCCGGAACTTGGGACTTAGTGCCACGACGTCCTGAATTCTCTGTCATTGGTAGTAAGTGGGTCTATACAGTCAAAATGTTACCTGATGGGAGTGTTGAGCGGTTTCGTGCACGTGTCGTTGCTCAAGGTTTTTGCCAAGAGTATGGGGTGGATTATGCCGAAACGTTTGCTCCTGTAGCTAAAATGCAGACAGTACGTAGTTTGCTGACAGTGGCGGCTATGAAGGGGTGGGCTCTTCTTCAATTAGATGTGAAGAATGCTTTTCTTCACGGTGATCTTAAGGAGGTCATATATACGGAGAGACCTCCAGGTTATACTCGGGGTGACAGTTCTATGGTGTGTCGGCTCAAGAGGTCCCTGTATGGATTGAAACAAGCTCCTCGTGCATGGTTTGAGATGTTCCAGGACACCATTCTGGATGCAGGCTTTGTCCAGAGTAACAGCGATCCCTCTCTATTTCTTCGTCATACCACTCGTGGTCTTACAGTGCTTTTAATCTATGTTGATGATATGATTGTCACAGGGAATGATCAGCTTGGTATACAGGAGCTCAAACAGGTGTTGCATTCAGCTTTTAATCTCAAGGAATTAGGTGATCTATCTTATTTTCTGGGACTCGAGATACATCGGTCAACATCTGGTCTTCACGTCTGTCAACGCAAATACATTATTGATCTGCTAGAGGAAGCACAGATGGATGAGTGTGTGGCCTGTAGCACTCCTATGGAGCAAAATCTTAAGATGCGTTCTGGGGATGGTGACTTGCTTTCTAATGCCTCATTGTATCGTCGTATCGTGGGTAGCTTGATATATCTTACCCATACGCGTCCAGATATTTCATATGCAGTACAGGTGGTGAGCCAGTTCATGAATGCACCTCGGTCTACTCATTGGGCTGCAGTTCATAGGATTGTGCGGTATTTAAAGGGCACTCAAGACGTGGGGCTAGTGTTTCCTGTGGCAGGTGAGGAAGTGATGGAGGCCTATGCTGATGCAGACTATGCGGGTTGTTTAGATACCAGACGATCTACCTCCGGATGGTGCGTTAGGTTGGGTCAATCTTTCATATCATGGCGCTGTAAGAAGCAGGATAGGGTCTCGAAGTCATCGACTGAAGCTGAATATAGGTCCATGAGTGAAGTTTCTTCTGAGATTGTGTGGCTGAAGCGACTTTTAGCTGAGCTTGGAGTGGTTGTTCGTTCACCTATTCGCTTACATGTGGATAATACGAGTGCTATTCGTATTGCGACTAACCCGGTACTTCATGACAGGACCAAACATATCGAGGTTCATGTTCACTATATACGTCAACTTGTTGCAGAGGGTGAAGTTGAACTCGCTTACATAACTTCTGAGGATCAGACTGCAGATCTTTTGACCAAGGCCGTTGCTTCTGCTAGGCATTGGTTTCTTGCACACAAATTAATGTTGCGACAGCTACATTAATTTGAGGGAGGGTGTTGAAGTATATGTACCTATATGTAATTGTCCAAGTACCAACATGTAGTTTGCCGGGTTAGGGTTAGCATAGTCGTATATATATATTGGTGTATGGCTGTACAGAGGTAAGGTGATTTTATGTGAATAAGAGTTGGCCGCCGTTCTCCGTGGACTAGTCCTAACGACAATCGTTAGGGAAACCACGTTAATCTGTGTCTCGTGTTCTCAGTGTTCTTGGTATAATTGACAGATCTACCCTCGTTTCCTCTTGGTAGTACATCAAACATGTATTCTCCTGCAAACCCACGAATCCTCTGCCGCCTCCGCCGCTTTCCCCTGCTCTGACCTCCACCAGATCGTCTTAGAAATCAATTGTCTCCATGATTCCTCTCAACCAAATTAATCCATTTCCGGAGGTGTAAGACAGTGCGAATCCTCCTCTCCCGCCACAAGAATCAGACATCACCGGCTACCATCTTCCCTTGCACGGCCAGCGGGTGAGATCTTACACAAAAGGAACGAACCGACCTTCTGTCTCCTTCCTCAACGAAGACTAGCATCTACATCTTCTCCTCTCGAGTTTGAGAGCAGCAGAGGTGTGCGGCGGCGACAGTGGGCCGGGCAGAACCAGAGGTGGCCGGCGGGGCAGATCCTTTCCTTTCTTATTCGGCCCCGAGCGACGCAGCGGCAAACCTGGCGGCGGCGGCTGGACACACGGAGCAGGCGAAATTGGTTATTAATTACGAATGAGTTGGGGGCGTATTCGTCGGTTTAGGTAATTTAGGGCGAATTATTTGAAAAGTTAGGGCGTTAAATAGAAATTCAGTTTTCTTTTAGAGCCGATGATGGGTTTTACAAACAACAGTCCCACTATGTTTGGGATGGAGGGTAAATGTGAAGAACCAGTTGAGGTTCAATCGTGGATCATATACCGTTTACTAATACCTCCTGAAAATCAAGTCATTCAGATAGTCTTGGAGTTTGGACAAGTACATGTTCGGATATCATGTGCTTAACATAAACATATGGGGGGTCATCGGGAATCGAACAGAAGATCTCATGGTCACAGAAGGCTCTGATAGCATGTTAAGAACCAGTTGATCCCAATAACTCGAGTTGTTGGGAGAGATTCATTCGTGAATCATATACAGTTTACTAATAGCAACGTGAATCCAATCCAATCTACTATGTTTTCTCATTTTGAGGTCGACAACATCTCCACCAAATCCATTTTTCGATTTTTTTGTTTCCATAATCTTTGACTATCGTGCTTAATCGCAAGTAACTGCAAACCACAATTTGATGTTAGTGATTAACTACAAATTATTTGCGGTGCCATTGCAGTTGGTAATTTTGCCCTTATTAAGTTGTGGTTAACCGCGTAATTCGATGTGGTTAACCGCAAAATAGCAATTGTTTTCACACTCCTAATTTTCTAATGCATGTACCCCATTTGGATAACTAGCTTATAACCCGGCCCGTTGGCCGAATGAGGATAACATTATGCATGTTCATATTTGAGTATATATTTTTGTGTTATGTTTATATATCAACCTTGTCGACAATCATTCTGAATGACGTCTAGAGAATGGATGTATAGGTGTAATATTTGAAGGAGTAGAGTGTGAAATATAAGATGAAGCTAATCTAATGCCCATTCAAATTATTTAAATAGGTACCCTTAATCCCATTTTCAAAATGAGAATTTAGCCCAAAATGAAAGAATAATGAAACATTAAAAGTTTCTATTTGACTCTGTATAATTTTGATCCCTAAATTTGCCTTTCTACCCAAATAAGAATAACCTCATCGCATCACTACATAGATAAAAACTGCAAATGTTTCAAGCTTGACTAATTAGCAATAGATGGAATTTAACTAACGACAAATATATATAATTGATGCATTGCAATTAATGTTAAGTTAGATGCAAAAAATTGGATTTAAAATTAGCTACAATAGAATTTCTTATTTTGGGTAACCCAAGAAAATAAAGCATAATTGCTTGATTCAGAGTGATAATTATGGAATCATCATGAAGATAAATCTATCAAAACAAAACACAATTATTTGATTTATGGGGATAATTCAGCCGGATTGGATCACGTCCTTACGCCTCAAACTTAAGGAGTTTCTTAAGCCTTTTCTGGCCAATAGGAAGAGGAGAGAGATGGAGGCATGTAACTAATCCGTAACTACATAAAAGGGTAATTTTGGGACATTCCGTTTTTATTAAATGTTAATAATTATTGTAATTATTTCTGAAAATGGTAATTTGACTATAACCACGCCACTGACTTACCATTAGGGGTGGCCGTTCGGTTACCGGTTAACCGGCCAGTTAAACCGGTAATCGGTCGGCTATCCACTAACCGGTAACCGAAGTAACCGAACTTCGGTCGGTTATCGGAGGGTGGACGAAATATTTTTTGGTCTTAAAAGTGATTCGGTTAAGCGATAACCGAGATAACCGAGAAACCGAAGCCTATTTCGGTCGGTGTTCGGTAGGGATGATGGTTATTTCGGTTAACCGATAACCGACCGATCGGTTACCGGTTATAACCGAAATAACCGAACTGCCACCCCTACTTACCATATGTAACAGTAGAAAATTGACACTTCCCATTCTGCATCCGCTGACTCTCTCTTTGTGAGGGAATAAAATCTAAAACCCTACATGTCCACAAACGTCAAGGAAACTGCGGGATCTGGAGCGCCGCCGTCGCATAATCACAACAGCGATGTCACCATTGTCATTGCCCTAACCGCAACATCGTCGCCTTGAAGCGGCCAACGTTGGCTCCGAGCATTATCTAGAAAACGCAACGGGCCTTTTCCGATAGGTGGTGTTTGATATGTTGTCGGATGCTTCTATTTGGTGTTGTCATTATTATAAGGTTGAAAAGTGACGTGTTTTGATTAAAAATTGATAAGTTCTATTAATAATTGTGAGGAAAGATGGCATTAGGATGATTAATAATAACAATCAACATTATTAAAGGATATGGGATTGTCCTTAACCGGTAGCCTTAGAGTTATTAAAATCGTTTGCTACATGTGTAGACGTTTATATTTGACGTCCTTATAATTACGATGAAAAGTTAAATATTTTGATTAAAAACGGATAAGTTTCTATTAATAATAGTAACACGAAATGACATTAAGGTGTTATAATAATCATCAACCTTATTAACACAATTGGGTTGCATTATTAGTGAGTATTAACCCGATTAGCAATCTTTGATTCTAACGGCATGTTATTAACGGTGTTTGCAATGTTTTGTAATGAAAAATAGTTGGATTATCAATAATTAATTTTGTAAATAATTATGTATGATATTACTACTATTTGACGTTAGTTAGCAAAGTTGTGAATGCTTAATCGGTGGCCTTATAGTCCGGTTGAAAAGTGCCGCATTCCATTAATAACGGAGACTTTTTCATTAACAATATTCATTTTATTGATAACCATGCAGGTTATTAATCCAAATCTGACTTTATTGTTAACGAAATTGGTTGGATTATTAATAATGTGATTTTTCCTTAACCAAAGGTGTATGCCCAAACCTCCTCAACCATGTTAATAAGGCCGGAGCGGCTGACGAAAATGCTGGAGCTCAAGCGGAGCCGGAGTCGCAGCCACTTGATGTTCTGACAGCACCAAAAGATAATCGCACGCAGCAGGGAATTGGGACGCCGGAGCCGCAAACTGTTCTGGCGGCAAGAACCCCTAGGGAAAAAAACTAACGAATGCAACGCAAGACTCGGGTTTATAATTAATGAATATTACCACAATTAATTAAATTAAAATTCTAATACCATCACTACCCTTAACTACCTAAAAATGGGTAACCAACCACTAACTAATTATGATTGATCTAATGGCCCAAATTAACTTAAGGAGGTTCTTAAGTATTGGGGCTTAAGGATGTGAACTCATCCCTAATTCAGCTATAGAGTGGAGATTGATTTCTCAACTCTCTTCCTTAAAAACTTAGTTCTATAATTGTTATATTGTCAACAAAATAAATCAAAATTACAGTGCAGGGTGTCGAAGGAGAGGCTCGGAGAGTCCAGATACCGGCTTAGGATAGGGTCAGTGACCAATGGTTACTAACCTATGAGTAACTAAATCTGGACCTTTAGATTTAAGTGGGTCCAGAAAATTCAGAAATAAGTTTGTCAATTAAAGACATTTTATTTTTCCTAGTTTTCTTAATTGGTTCTTATCTTCTTCGTTCTAACTCGGATTTCAATTTTTTTTTATTGCACAGATGGAACGAGTTCGTTATGCTCTACAAAATGATATCGATTTTCAATATATTTCGAGAAATTTTTTTTGCCAACTACATACCATATGGTAACTTCTTCGTTTTTAAGTCGTTTTTGAAAACGTTTGCTCAGAAGGAACGAGTTCATCATGATCTATTGGATCTATAATTTTTGGGTGAAAAAAATACTGGATAAAAAATTACTATACTTTACCACTATGGTATGTGGGTGGTAACTTGTAGTAAACAATGATGAAAGTCGTAAATGACCGTTAATACTCCTACTATTATGTATTCAACCTTCTTACCATATTGGTATGTTCATACCATCATGATACGCTTTTTTATAATATGTTATTAAATTGGAGCATACCATATGGTAATGACTAGTAAAATATTATTCAATTTTTTTTTGTACTAAAAATATATCAAAGTGGATATCATTTTAAAGAGCACATTTAATCTGATTTATCTGTGCAAAAAAAAATTAAATTTTGACTTAAAACGAGAGAAAAATCGTCTATAAAACATTAAAGAGGAAAAGATAAAAGACTTTCCAGGAGAGAGAGGATACTGATGCCATACTGATGTGGACAGGTTAGTCATTGTTACTGATCATAGAGTTACTGACCTGATCCATTCCCCCCAGATACCGGTTGGGAAGTAAGAAAGCAGCAAGTTTGGTGATTCCCTTTCACAATTGGATATATATCAGCGATGACTGGAAGGTGTGATCCCAGTTATCTATTGTCATAAAACACACGACCCAATTTAGATTCAAAACTTGACATGCATATGAATTTCATAGCAATCTCAACCCGGAAGTGAAAAACCTTCAAATTATGAATCAATCACTTTCATGGGGACCAACAGCCAAGGAAATATAACTAACCCATGAGCATATTCTACAATGAAGATTGGCGCTACCTGAGTCGTCGAGCTGCTTCAGTCTCATGTGGTTGTCGCTGCAACTACTATTGATTCTATATGGGTCACGCACCACCAGAGCACTCCGATTGAGTAGATCACGGAGCATGAGCTGATGAAAGTCCCAAGGAAAGGGATTGTTCGATTACTCTGACATAAGAGTGCAGGCGACAATGTGTTGCAAAAGCAGAGAAGGAGAAGAGGATTATAGCCAAGGAAGAACCAATGGAATTGTCAGTGAGAGTTTAACAGGGGAAAACATGGAAAAGACGTGTAGCGAAGTAAATGTCGATCTATAATTGTGTCAGTGTGAATTGCTACCTTGCCTCGAGCTACAATGAAGAAGGAGGTAGGGAATTCAAAATGGCGGAAATATGTTGAGACTCTGCCATATATTATAGGGGATTGCTAGATCTCATATTCTATTCTCAATGTTTTTAATTTTTTTCTCCAATAAAATGTTAGCGCATATATACATGAGGAACTTGGCATCTGTTAGTCACACAAAGCCGCAATCCAAATGCATGTCAGTCTAAACTATTTCACTTCTTCTTTATATGAGATGAGGTCGATTTACGCCATGATTGCGTGGATAAAACGCAAATGGAATTGACTACAGAAGGATTTGGATGGCTTATGAGATGGTTGGGGCTTGTTTTGTCGCCTGTTCATATTCGTTTATGGGATGTTCATATTCGTTTTTTTAGGGTTAGTGATAAGGAAAAGGATGACATGACAGGGGAGCTACAAATACAATTTGTTGAAAACGTGTCGTTTTGAAGTGGCCCTATGCTATGGTCAGTTGGTTGAATTGGCCGAATTTCCCGATTTTTATTAGATTTTCCTGGGTTTGACCGTGCGGTCTTCGACGCTTGGTGAGATACTCGAGTTCATACATAATTGGTTCGACTGGCCGAGTCAAACTTGGGTTGACAATCATGGTTATGACTCTTGTCTTTGTTTGAAGATACATTGATCAAATCCTAATACTCGTCTCTTTTTCTATAAATAATATTGATAAATAATTGTGAAGACAAAATTATCAACTTTCACTCTTTTTGTAGGAAATTTGAAATAGGGTAGATATTTTCTCATTCTAGTATTATATATTGTGTAGAGTGTATATGTAGACATGTCTTTTCCCAACGAATTTATTAGCACATAAAAAGGTGAAATTAACTAACATATTAAACTTAACCCCTTGTCTAATGAATTTTGGGTCCAATCATGCCGAAACAAAAAGAGGTTTAAAACTTAGCGGTTGGATAGGCTAATAAGTTCAAAGAACCAATCTCATATAGCTTGCACAAAGATATGAATATGATTTCTTCATAGTAGTTCTAAAAATTAATACTAATTTAAGAATTATGCATACTGAATACTGGTGTTCAATATGCAATATTTGAATCATTGATATTTGAGTTAAGAATTTTAAAGTTATTCTTATTTTTAAGATAGATAGAAATTTAAATTAAGTGTTAAAATATAGTTAAAATACAATTAAGATGGATAGATAGAAATTTTAATTAGCTTCATGAATATTTTTAATTAAAAAAAATATAACAAATCTATGTAGTGTGATTGGTCATGATTTTTCTCTTTATTAGGAATGATCAACTTTCATATCTAACAGAAAACAAACTTAGTATTATTTTTATTATTAAAAAGTAAGAATTTCAATTACTATTATAACCCTAACTACAATTAAGGAGAACAAAAAGAATTAAAAATGGAAATCTCATGAAACTCTGCCATATATTATAGAGGGATTAGGAATAGTGGTGAGGGGTGCAATTGGGAGTAAGTTCACAATTTCCATCAACCTCCCAATTTGAAGTGCAAATAAAGAGAAGGGGTATTAGATATAATTATGATTTATTTTCTCTTTTTGTGTATTATTTTTTTCTTTAATTATTTTGTGACTATGAAATGTCATGTAATTATATAATAATAATTATTATTATTAATATATTATGATAGTAAGAATAACTGTTATAATGTTTAAATAATAATTATTCTATATTTTTGGGTTTACTCTAATGTCGTCATTGAGTTTGGGAAAATTTTGTTAGATTGGCTCCAATTGTTGACTCAATATGCTTGTTTAACAATTAAAAGTTATAGATTCGAACGTGTAACTAAGTTGACAATATTCAATTTGAAGTTAAACCCGATTTGATATCACAATGTCGAAAAACAATGGTTGTGTGGGAGATATGAACTAGTTTATGTATTGGCCACGAAATAGGGTTCGAATCAACTTATTATCCTCGAGGTTGTTCGAACAATGATGATTTTTATGGGCTTAATAATATTATTTACTATTTTTTTATAAATAATTACTATTTGAGTATTCCTATCTTAATAAAATTTTATTAATATACATGATTATTATGTAAATATTTATTTATGTATGAATATTTTTTGATAATATAACCTAATTACTTTTCAGCTTATTTGCACCCCTACTTTTTCATTCCCAAAAATAATTTATCCATCCACTTACGCTCTACTCTAATTTGCACCCCCTTCACTTTACACCCCCTCGAACTTGCACCCCCCTATTTGGCCAAGATGATTAATTGTTAATAGTTGCTGAATCAAAAAAGATAATAGTTGACGATTCAATTATTATTGATTATAGAATCGCTGGTTAACCGTTGACAAAATCGTATATGAGTTATGTCATAGAAGAATTATACAATATACTTAATTAGAAGCTATCACTAACGATAAATAAATTTAAAAAATCCATATAATCTAATTACCAAAAAATTCTAATTCTAACAAGTATTCAAACTATTTCATAAAAGTAATCAAAATATTTTTATTAAATTCAAGGCAGTAATTATGGTGACAATCTGTAGAGAACCCCATGAAACTAACAAATAGGCTGGAAAATGAAGAAAATGAAGCATAAATAAAACTAGTGAGTGAGGTTGGTTGATCTTAGTTTACATTAAAATTGTTTCTTCTTAATTTTTTTGTGGCTAAAATTGTGAACCAATGGACCTTTCAAATTGGGGTGGTTCATCTGGTTTCATGTCAAAGACAAAGCATTAAAAACCATCGGGTTCATCCTAATCGTCCAATTAAATGAACCGAATCGGTATTGTAATTGGATTAGTAGTTCTACTAGCTCAACAGTTGATTGGGTTCGATTCTTATAACAATGGTTTCATTTTTGAGCATGGTGTGGAGCTTATTTATAATATATAGTTAAGCAGGTTTGGCAAGTGATATAATCAGACTGGTGATACGATCTATTTATTCCGTTTTATGTTGGTTTTAGTAAAACACATAGGAAAGTGGAAATCATAAACACTGAAGGTGAATTTAAGTGTGTGTATATATAACATATTTGAAAACAATCTCTGTAAAATCTACATTTATATTTAAATGAAATACAACATTCGTTAAAAAATTATCATATATGAAGCCAACATTCAAACTTTTGTACTTGAATCCAACAAATAACATAAAATTCTAAACATTCATACTTGAATCCGAAAAATAACATAAACATTTAAACTATCATATTCAAGAAACAAATCAAAATGATATATTTTTAATAAAATTCACCAAAAAGACATCTTTTTATTAACATGTAAAAAATCGGTCATACTGGTCATACCAGGACATCACAATCGATTTTATAACAAAATCAATTGAATCCATCTATTGCTGAAACTTTTTAAGCACCTTTTGAGGCTCAATTGGGAGGTCACAGTTAACCATTTATATAAAGAGTCAAATTTTGCATCGGACTATCTTGCAAATATAGGCCATTGTTCCCCTTTTCGCATGTATTCCTTCAATGTGTGTGACCGGAAACGTAGACAGTGGTTATATCATGATACTATAAAAATCTCTCAAGTAATTATGTTATCTTATATGAATTAGACATTTAAGAGTCAATATTTCTATAAAAAAATAAGTTGTAAAAGAAAAAGATACATGGATGAAATAACAATAGAACAAGGGGAAATTGAAATAAGGTGATATCATAAGAATAATGAGGGTTTTTTTTAATCCCCCACGAATTTGCCTTCAAATTTTGGACCAACAAATAAAGGATTTTGACTAAATACATTATGATTTAGATTGATACACAAATCTATCACCAAAATCCAACAAGCAAACAATCATTAACCTATGATCGAAATCCCACATCCATGTCTATTGTTCAAACAACATAGTTATATATACATCTCTTATCGCCACCCTCCCTTCTCTCTAGTGCCCTTTTGAAATTCTCAAAGGATGTCGACAGTACCTTTCAGCGGTGACCAACGGTAACCCACCCATCTATTTCCATTATTTTTTCTTCTAATTTCTTTCGACTTTCCCGTTGTCCAAGGGTTCTGTCTTCTTTTCTTTTGTGTGCTCCATCCATTACTTGGCTTATTTTCGAGATGTCATGTGTGGTTTCATCCCTTTTCCTGATGGTTTCAGATCAACCCCTTAGTGGGGTTGCCTTTGCTCCTCTGTTCTGATTTTCCAGTTCTGGATATGGTCCAATCTATGTGACAAACGAAGGCTATATTCATGAAAGGTTCAACTTGTTGACTCACTATGACACAACTCCTAACAAAGGCCAAGTGTAACCAATGTAAGGGACTGCAATATAGTGGCTCAAGTAATAAATATTGAATCCACGGGTCTCTAGAGTTACTATTACTCAGCTTCAGTTCATTATCTAGCAAACCAGATTAAGATGGAAGAACTAAAACTACTCTAGCAAACTACAGTTAAAGTTAATATAATTATAGGTTGGGAACAAACTTAGGCATGATTCCCCCTAGCCATTAGCCAGATTAATGATTGATGATCTCTAACCTATTTCACTTTCATTTACAATGCGGAGAATCCTTAACTAGACCTTGAGTCTCAACTAAAGGAACAAGGCCCTCTTGAGTCAATTGCCTAGAGGGACGTATCCTTCTCTAGAACAACCGATCAAGGCGTTCTGAACTAGACTCCCTCTATCGAATGAGGTTCTCAATCGATACAAAGCAGTGAATCGACCCTCGACTAAAGCAATCGATCCAATACTATCAATCTATGGTACTCTATTGACCTAATCATGTATTCGCTCTCATATGATCATAGCAGAATCAATAATCTCGACTAAAGCAGAATTGAATCATGAAAAAATGCATAGATTGAATATGAACTCAAGATTATCAAGTAAGAGTACTCATACAATCATCCAATCAAACAAACATAGATAGGGTTCCTCAAAACCTAAGTGAAGGGAAGTTACTCCATAAAGAAGAGAGAGACTGCAGCAAGAATCTTCAGATGATCAGTCTTCAAGTCCGGGCTTGTTCCTCGAGCTTCCAAGGCGAAGAAATTCTCCAATTCCACTCCAAGAATGCCCTCAAACCGCCCTCTCTTTCTTTGGTTCGTCCCTTGGGTGTTTGGGATCCAAAACCCAGCCCTCTCCCTCCAAAAACGCACAAAATAGGCTTTTAACAACCTGTGTTCACGAAACCCGGTCCAAATACCCGGTTGGGTATTCGGGGAACCGGTCGGGTATCAACAAAATGCTCCGGGTCACTCTTCTAGGCAAAAGGGAAAATACCCGGTTGGGTATTTTTGGTTCACGATCGGGGGGCCTTCTGATGCTGCCAAAAATACCCTATCAGATGGTCAAAATACCCGGTAGGGTATTATTGTCGGGTATTTTGCAGTTCCGGGTGCCCTATCTTTGATTCTTCGTTTCTCCCTCGTTCGGACTCCAAATCAGGTGTTGTTTGATCCCAGATGCTCGTAGTCTCGTCCTCTTTCTTCTCACGACAAGATTACATGATTCTATGGTCACAAAGTGAGATAGAAATCCATTCTTCTTTAGGTCATGCCCGAGTTTTGTCCCCCGAGTTGCCAATTGATATATGATTGACTTGAAACTTGCGCCTATGCTTTACTTTATGTGCTAGGATCTGAAATGTGACAAAGGAACACAACCTAGCATAAAATAGGCCAAAGAAGCGATAATTCAAGCTTAAACAATCAAGAAGCAAAGGGGAAAACATGTGCAAATATCGAGTCGTCAAATCCCCCACACTTAACCGTTTGCTTGTCCCCAAGCAAACCTAACTCAAACCAATGCAACTCTCCAGACCTCTATAGCAACATGCACCCTCGATCATTGATAGAGGATTTTCTAGATCATTTAGCAGCTTACGAGGTCAACCGACGCACAAGTCATCTCATAGCTTCTTCGGTGAGAACGCTAGTCTCGAGTCGGCATCATGGCAAATAGTGATCAGAGGACAAATGAATCGTGGACGAATGGACTCTCAAAAACAAAAGATCATGGACTCACATTTTTAATGTGCTCTATTTTCTTCTTGAAGATGGTTGGAACTCCTTTTCTTTCTTTTTTCTTTTCTTCTTCTTGTTTTTCTGTTTTTTTTTTCTTTTTCTTTTCAAGGGTTCCAATCTATTTTTCAGAAAATGGGGGCTCCCACCTAGCAGAGGTTTTGCGAGAGCCCGGCTCTTACCGGCCATACCAGGAGCAGATGTCTCGAGCCTCATGCGGGGGAAAGAAATGTAAGGGGCCTGGAGGTAGTAGGTGAAAATTGGGAACGGATTCCCGTCTCCCCTTACACACTTTTGCCCTATTCGCATGGGAGAAGTTATTTTAAAACACATTTTCGAGCACCTTTTATTTCAAAACATGATACAGGAGTCCATGACAGGTAGAGAGTCCACAAAGCCACACAATTCAAGGGTCCTAACTCCTAAGATTACTAATTCACACAATCAACCAACACAATATGAAGAAGAAAGGAGACTTCTTAAATGCATCAACATCCTCCATAGTGCTACACTGCCTCCCTAGGTTGCACATTACTATAGAGACTGTCAACTCAAAGCATACTGAGCAGGAAATTGCAAGGAACACGTACTTGGAGCCCTCAAATCAAAATTTGGACAGTGGACTAGGCTCCAAGCACACACATACAGCCAAACATTCACATGCATACATAATTGAACATCCCCCCACACTTAAGCATGACATTGTCCTCAATGGAAGAAAGATGAGGAGGGTAGAACAACATTACCAGATCAAGGGTGAATGATGGTGGATGGGGCAGGTGGTGCATTCCAGGAGGAGAGAGTAGTTGGAATACAAACACCACACAAAATCTCACAAAGGTTGAGTTATTGACTCTAAAATCAAAGAACAAAACTGACTCAACCGAGGAAAAATAGAGAAAGAAATGCAAACCGACTGGTTGGGTTGCCTCCCAACATGCGCTTCGTTCACGTCGTGAGTCGGATGATGGCTCCTAAGTTTCGGTCCACCCCAGAACCTCTTTGAAGTTGAGGTTCTTGTCGATGAGGTGGAGTCTCAAGTCACGAACATGTGGTATGACAGGTGATGGAAGCTCGTACACTTGATGCAGATGAAGTCTCCACCCTCGAGACCTCTTCTTCTCTTCTCTCGTCTCATTGCCCCAAACCAGATATGACAACATCGATTGACCACCATCGCATCCACCAAGAGGGACCGATGTCGATGTGGCCTTGGTCTGGCAAAGAGACACTGCAAATGGGTCCTTGCTAAGCAGTTCCTTGAAGTTTGGTAGGGATATTACTTGCAACATAAGGCCGGTGCAAGCCTCTTCCACCTCAACTTCATCCCCAGCCTGGACGCCAATTGCTTCTTCAACCCCCTTCCTTCTTCAGAATTTAATTCCTCCATTCGGAAAAGATCAAGAACTTCCTCTAATTCACTTCCGTCATCCTCCGCAACTTCTTTCCTCATCCTTTCTCGCTCTTCTTCTTCTAGCACGGATTGGAGAGCAAGTTGCCAAGCAATTTCTTTCATGAGGTCATCTTGCATCTCCTTGATCATGCCCACCTCTTCAATGCTCGGTGTGGGATGTGGGAAGGTGTGGTCGGCTACAACAGGACATTCTTGATCATGATCTTCACGGGAGCTCTCCGTGACAACTTCTGTTTGCTCCACAATGTCCTTGTAGCCTTCATCTTCCTCCTCCTCTTCTAGTATGGTAGCAGAAGGGTGATCTTGAGCAATTTGTGCACAAACTTGCTCAACCCGCTCTGTTTGCTTTGCTGAGTGCAGAACAGTCTCCCCCGATTTACGAAGGGACGAAGAGTTAGGAGGAGCAAAAGATGGGAAAAAGAGGTCCATCTTGCGATTGCGTGTCTCGGTGTCCCAGCAAACTGCTCCACGAGAAGCCTCAATTCATAGTTTGGATCTGGTCGTGGAATGTAGCATGGCTGTGCAGAATGGCCCGTGAAGGCCGCCAAGGCTAACTCCAGCTTTGATGGCCCTTCTGTTTGTGGGAGGAATTCTTCTTCATAAGGATATTGTTCTTGAAATGTCCAAGGGTCCAGTTGTTCTCCATAGTAAGGGGGTTGGTACTAGAACCCGAATCCATAGTCTTCTCCTCCTTGATTGCTCCAGGAAGTCTCGGGGTAATACCACTCTAACGGTGGTGGATACCCCCAATGGTTGGAGAAGCCATGAGGATCCATGATTCAGATCTGCACCAACAAAAACAAAAACACCCAAGTGAAAAGCAAGGGTGGAAAAGAAAAGAAAACGCTAAAGTAACAAACTTCTGCCTTTCCTAATAATCTAGAAAGTCCCCGACAACGGCGCCAAAAACTTGACTCGCTATGTGATAGACCGTTAATTACACATGTTTTTACCCTTGTTCTTACACCGTTTGAGATGTGATTTCTCGTGTTTTAGGCCGATTTCACGCTAGGTTGTGCTTGTTTGTGATATTTCAGGTCCTAGTACGTGAATGGAGGCTTGGGAGCGAGTTTGGGGTCGATTGGACGAAGATCGGGCGCGAGGCAAGTCAAAAAGGAGGCCACACGGGCACACCCACAACTCACACGGCCGTGCAACTCATATTTGTGGCCGTGTGAGATTGTGCGAGAGCAAACACGGCTTGCCCTAATATCCAAACGGCCGTGTGAAGGAGTGGCTTGGCCGTGCGAGTTTTGCCGAGAACAAACACGGGCAGATGGAAATCTCACACGGCCGTGCGACCCTGGCCGTGTGAGAAGCCTGAAGATCGAACTAATTGGAACGCATCGTTTTGACTCACACGGGCAACTGGGTATGCCACATGGCCGTGTGGCCCTGCCCGTGTGAGTCGGGATTTCCTGGTTTTAACCCAATTCCGGGCTGCAAGAGAGAGAATCGGACTTTTTGAGCAAAAACAGAGCCCTAGAGAGAGAAAGGACGAAGAACACACCCTAGAAGCCATCTTGGAGCTGGGTTTCATCAAATCAAGCTTGGAGATCATCATAGGAGTGGAAATCATCATCCCAGAGCAGATTTTCCTCATCTTTATGAATATGACTACTTTGTATCTTGTTTTCCTCTCTCTCTCTATGGAGTAGAACCCCTCTCTCACTTGGGGATGAAGAACCCTAGTTCTATGTGTTAGGGATTGATTGTAATGACTTGGGATGATATTACTGTTTGATTTTAATCGAATGATGCATGTTTATTGAGTCAATTGAAGTCTGATCAACTTTTCTTGATTCCTGCTGCAATCTGAGATAGATAGAATCTGATTAGGTTGCTAGAGTCTCATCATTCGATAGTAGGAGATTGGCTATACGAGAGTTAGCCAGTTTACTGCTTTGTACTGGAATCCAATTCCAGTAGTGGAGTTCTGTTCTTACTGCTTCAGCTTTCTATCCCGGTGAAGACTAGTCGTCTGCCGGGTAGTTAGACTGAGAGGGCTTGGTCAGCTTAAGAGATTCCAAGATACTGTCGAATCTTCCGCAGTCTAATCTACAGTAAATCTACCCAGGGAAATACAATTGAAACCTAACTAAGGAGCTAGGGGGATTCATTCCCGAGTGACTCTTTCCTGCTTGAGAAAACCGTATCAATTCCTGCTTTCTTTCTGCTTTTGCTTTTAAACAACAATCACTTGCTTTAGTTGGCTAGATAATAGAGAATCATTGAGTAAGCAGTAGACCTAGACCCCGGGTTGATAATATAATTTGCCTGTTACTGCATTCCCAGTCTGCGATTATACTTGGTCGCAGATTGGTGTTGTGTTTTGGCGTGTCAAGTTTTTGGCACCGTTGCCGGGGACCCTCTAGGTTATTGGGGAAACGTGAGAATTTGTTACTCTAGCCTTTTATTTACTTCATTTCATCTCTTCCACCTGTGTGCATTCACGGGTTGTTTCTGCTGATTGTGTGCAGGTAGTGCATGACCCGTAGCCAGTCGGGAGATCTACTACCACTAGACCAGGAGCTTGAACGAACCTGCAGAAACTTCAAGCGAGCTCTAAAGGCGCGACTGGCTGCGGAGAAGGCGCTATCACAGCTGCAGTTAGAGATGGCTGATCCAGGGAACCATGATGTGATTCCTGAGGAGCAAACCATGGGATCCTACTGGACCGCTAGAGCTGCGGACATGAGGTCACCCATTCAACATCCTCATGTCCCAGCCAACAATTTTGAGGTGAGCACCTCAGTAATCACCATGCTGCGCGGTTCAGTGGTGTTCCGTGGTAAGGAGGGGGAGTGCCCCCGATCACATCTCAGGCGATTCCATGAGCTCATTGATGGAATCAAGATCAATGGGGTCCCAGCAGATGCCATCCAGCTGAGATACTTCCCATTCACCTTGGAGGGGCAAGCCAAGGAGTGGCTAGACACTCAACCTCCGGGCTCCATCACCATGTTCGCCAACCTGGCGGACAAGTTCCTCACCCGCTACCATCCTCTGTCGAAGACGGCGGACTTGCAGAAGCAGATCACCCACTTCACCCAGGATGAAGATGAGACCATCCGGGATGCTTGGGAGAGATACAACAGTCTCTTCCTGAGGTGTCCCAATCATGGTTTCAATGATGCTTTCAAGGTGGGAACCTTCTATCATGCCCTCTTCCGGGAGGACAAGCAACTGATTGATTCGGTCTGTGGCGGGAACATGCTGACCAAAACACCGCCACAGCTGAATCAACTCTTTGAGGAGATGGCGGAGAACGGGTACGATTGGGTCACTGCCAGGAGATCGAGACGAGCACCAGGACGGGGTGTGCATGCTTTGGCACCCAGTCATCTGATTTGGTACAGGTGGTATCAAAGCTGGTGTCAGCTATTGATGACTCGATATTTGCACATGTTTTCCCCTTTGTTTCTTGATCGTTTAAGCTTGCATTATCGCTTCTTTGGCCTATTTTATGCTAGGTTGTGTTCCTTTGTCACATTTCAGGCCCTAGCACATAAAGTGAAGCGTAGGCACAAGTTTCAAGTCAATCGGAGATCAATTGGCGATTAGGGAGAAGAAACACGAGCATGACCTGAAGAAGAATGGATTTCTAACTCACTTTATGGACAAAGAATCATGAAAGTTTGTTATGAAAAGAAAGAGGACGAGACTACGAGCGTCTGGGTTCAAACGGCGACTGATTCGGAGTCCGGACGAGGGAGAAACGAAGCTTTGAACAGGGGTGGAGGAAGAATTACGGGCAGGAGAATTACGACCGTAATTTGCCCTCCCATGCCCGTAATTTCACTGCCGAGAGGAGCTTTGGGTGCGCTGAAACTTAACCAAAACGCGTGTTTTGGGCAAAATACGGGCATGGAAGAATTACGACCGTAATTCAGCCCGTAATTCGCCCAGAATCGGGTTTTTGAGGCAGATTAGAGCCAAAGGAAAGGGAGAGCTGGGTTTTGGATCCCAAACACCCAAGGGACGAACCCTAGAGAGAGAGAGCGACTTGGGAACATTCTTGGAGCTATTTTGGAGGATTTCTTCGCCATTGGAGCTCGGGAATCAAGCTTGGAGATGGAGATTGAAGATCTAGATCAGATTTCTGCAGTCTCTCTCTTCTCTATGGAGTAACTTCCCTTCACTTAGGTTTTGAGGAACCTTAGTTCCATGAGTTAGGATCTTTCTTGTATGAAGTTTTGGATGCTATATTGTTTGATTATAATCGAATGATGCATGTTTATTGAGTCAATTGAAGTCTGATCAACTTTTCTTGATTCCTGCTGCAATCTGAGATAGATAGAATCTGATTAGGTTGCTAGAGTCTCATCATTCGGTAGTAGGAGATTGGCTATACGAGAGTTAGCCAGTTTACTGCTTTGTACTGGAATCCAATTCCAGTAGTGGAGTTCTGTGCTTATTGCTTCAGCTTTCTATCCCGGTGAAGACTAGTCGTCTGCCGGATAGTTAGACTGAGAGGGCTTGGTCAGCTTAAGAGATTCCGAGCTACTGTCGGATCTTCCGCAGTTTAATCAACAGTAAATCAAACAAAAGGAATTACAACTTGGACCTAATTGAGGAGCTAGGGGGAATCATACCTAAGTGAGTTCCCAAACTGTAATTAGTAGTTTTACTTAGTTTAGTTAATCAATCCTTAATCTAGTTTGCTAGATAATGAACTGAAGCTGAGTAATAGTAACTCTAGAGACCCGTGGATTCGATATTTATTACTTGTGCCACTATACTGCAGTCCCTTTCATTGGTTACACTTGGCCATTGTTAGGTGTTGTGTTCCAGAGCACCAGCTATCGATCGTTCTGGTTTGATTGCAGGTACAGGACAGCCGCAGGCGATGCTCTGCCAGTGGTGCGAGAGCACCCATCACACTGTGGAAGACTGCCAAGCGATGAAGGAATCGACAACACCCCAGGAGCAGGTGAACTTCATCAACAATGTTAGGCGCAACGACCCCTACAGCAATACTTACAACGAGGGGTGGCGCCAGCATCCCAACTTCTCCTGGGGTGGGGCAAATTCCAGACCACCAGTCCCCTAGGGACCACCGGGCTTCCAGAGGCCACCATATCAGCCTAGACAGGGGCAATTCCAGCAGCCACAACAGTCTCTCTACCAGCCCATGCAGGGGCATGCTGCTACATCACAGCCGCGACCTTTCCAGCAACCAGGTGCAGCCCCTGCCGCCCCAGTGCAGAATGATCAGATGGCTGAACTGCGGGAATTGGTGGGTTCTCTCGCCAGTTCTAGTGCTCAAAAATTTAGCACCATCGAGCAGTTCATGGAAAAGGCATCGGGCAAATTCCTGGCTCTGGAAGCTGGCCAGAGGAACACACAGGCTGTCTTGCAGGATATCCAGACCCAGCTGGGGAGTGTAGCTCAAGCAGTGGCACAACGGGCTCCTGGCACTCTGCCCGGTCAGACCATTCCTCACCCTCAGAACCGAATGCGCACTGCAATGCCATCATGACCAGGAGTGGCAAGATGACTGTTGATCCACCTGCTCGGGCACAAGAGAGAGAGGCCCCTGCCTCGGCATCTCCAGCAGCTGAAGAAGAAGTAGAGAAGGAGGTTGAGGTGCCTGCACCTAAACCGCAACCAGTAGTGAAGGAGTATATCCCTAAACTCCCCTTCCCTACTCGGTTGCACAAAGACAGGTTGGAGGCAGAGTTCGAGAACTTCATGGTCATGCTTAGGAAGCTGAATGTCCAAGTGCCTTTCCTAGAGGCACTATCTCAAATGCCTAAGTATGCGAAGTTCCTGAAGGATCTTCTCTCAAAGAAGCAGAAGCTGAGCGAGCTGGCCACTATGGAGCTCAGCGAGGAGTGCTCGGCCATTCTGCAGAACAAGCTTCCGCAGAAACAAAAGGACCCAGGTAGTTTTACTATCCCGTGCTCTATAGAGAATTTGCATGTAGAGAGGTCCTTGGCGGACTTAGGTGCTAGTATCAATGTTATGCCATATAAACTGTTTAAGAAACTAGGCCTAGGTGAATCCCGTGCTACTAGGATGAACCTTCAATTAGCTGACCGATCTGTCGTGCATCCTAGGGGCATAGTGGAAGACCTTCTGGTTAAGGTTGGCAAATTCAATTATCCTGTTGATTTTGTGATTTTGGACATAAATGAGGATGTGGATGTGCCATTGATACTGGGAAGGCCTTTCCTGGCCACCGCCAAGGCCCTCATAGATGTGCATGATGGGACCTTAGTTCTGAGGGATGGTGAGGAGCGAATGACATTTTCAATTTCTAATACTCTTCCTGCTTCGTCACCTCTGCATGTTGTATCTCACCAGGAGGACGAGTCTGTCGTGTATCCTTCTGCGTTTCCTATTTTGCAGGATTCGCCTCCCATACTTTTGCCGCCACTCCCATCCACTCCGTCACCGAAAGAACAGATCAGGGAGGAGTGGCGGCCGAAACAGCAGGCAGCTAAGCCTGCTCGAAAGAAGGCTGGAGACCACTACGAGCTGGTCCCACCCCCACCTTGGCCATCCGAGTATTCACTCGCTTGCATCCTGCCGGATGGCCAAGTTGAGTTGGCAAATGCTGGTGGCCACATTCGGCATGTGCATGGCCACCATTTGTAGCTGTACCTCAAGAGCGAGGTGGATCCGCTCTTGAAAGCACCTGCTCCTTCACCTCACTGAGCATCCACCGACTGGCGTCCAGCTAAAAGACGGTAAAGAAGCGCTTGTGGGGAGGCAACCCAACCTAGGTTTGTATTTTCTTACCTTTTTCTTTTTGATTTTTTGTGTTTTTTGAGTCTTGAGGGGTTGTTCACGAGTTGTATGTCGTTTTGGAGTGAAAACAGGTCATTTTCGGAGTTCTGGCAGCTCACACGGCCAGCCCTGAATGTCACACGGCCGTGTGGAAAATAATTTTGGCCGTGTGAGCTCTCGCAGAATTCCACACGGCCAGATGAGATGCTGGCACGGCCGTGTGAAAATTTTCCCTTGCCGTGTTTGCTCTCGCATATTTTGGCACGGCCAAATGAGCACTCGGCACGGCCGAGTGAAATTCCTCGGCCAGCCCGTGTCGGCCGACACGGGCAAAAGTGCTCATGACACGGCCGTGCGAGTCAGGCCGTATGGCCGAGACACGGCCTTTATATTCGGCCAGCACGGCCGGGTCATCAGAAAATTTCAAAATCCTCGCCGGAATCCTCTGAACCTCGCCGGAAAACCGCGACAAAACCCCCCCTTTTTCGATTTTTTCGGCCATTTTTTGACATTTTTCCACCAAACCAACAACAAACTCACCCTTCCTACACCAAAAGCGGCCTATCCCTCCATTTTGAGGAGATTTGGCCGACGTTTTTGTCGCCGGAGGCGATTTCCGGCGAGACTCCGGCGAGGCTCCGACGAGCAATTCCGGGCACTTTTTCGGCTTTTTGTCGCTTCCATCGCCTTCCCCTCATCATCCCCTACACCTCTACTTGAGTCTCCAGGTTTGATTTTGCCCTTAACTATGTTAATTGTGGAGAATTGGGTGTTAGGTTGCACGTTTAGAGAACCTCATTGAATCTTGTGATTTTCGTGCAATTGATTGAGGGGAATGCATTGAGTGTGTTTGAATTGTGTTGGGCAAAGTCCCTCTTGGTTGTTTGAGCCCTTGTGTGCAAGAATTGTGCCAATTTCATGCTTACCTTAATAGTGCACACAAGGTGTTCGATGAAATGCCTGTTTTTGTACCATTTTGTGGGGGTCGGTTAGGGTCCTTGATGATGTGCTTTGAGGGGGTATTTGGTATGAATGTGAACCTTGAGTTGCCTACTTGTTCATGGATTTGCACCCCCACTCAGATTATGCTTGATTTATCGAGTTTCTGACCCCCGAACTATGGACGAAACCATAGTTGGGCTGTTTTCTGTTCTTAAGTGTGGGGGTGTGATGAACATTTTCCTTGGCTGTTTTGGTTCCACTTTGGGCTGTTCTTTTGCAGGACCATGTCGAAGCCCAACCTCCGGCACCAGTTTATCAGGATTTGAGAAGGGGGCCCCACCGGGATCGTTTTCAGTACGTCCTGGCCTGCAAGTTTGGGCAGCATCATTACTGGTCGAAGCGCGAATTGGAGAAGCTGAACTGCTACGAGCACCTCTCCCCCGTTGTCACCAACCGCTACTGGCGCCGCCTACTCAGCATTCGCGCGACGGTTTACCATGAGCTCGTGCTTGAGTTCTACACTACCTTCAAGCACGTAGCCACGGCCGATTGGAAGGACGAAGCTGCAGTCCAGTTCCGACTCGACGGTGAACCACGCTCCATGAGTTACGACGAGCTGGCGGACGCCCTCGGCCTCAACCTGGTCAATGACAGGACCTTCATCACCGAGATCGCCGAGCCAGCAGGGGTGGACTTCGGGAGGCTGTACTTTAGCCTCGCTCGGCCACGTCAGCTTCCCTTCAAGGCGGGGAAGACGAAGGCTAGCACATTGCAGCTTGAAAACCGTCTCCTCCATCACATGCATGCAACTCTTACACCCCAGCCTCAGATAGTGCCAGCGCCATCACCAAGAGATCCCTGTACTTCATCCAATCCATGCGCCAGAGGGATCATCCCCTACACTTGGGCTCAGTGGTGGCGAGGACCTTCGAGAAGAGTGCTTCTGAGCTGAAGAAACTCCACTGCACTCCTCTCATCACCTGCCCGGCAGAGTACTTCCAGATATCCCTGCAGGGGTGCACAGAGCAGGGAGAGACCACTCCCTTTGGCCGGGTTACGCTCACCCAAATGCTCCTGCTTCGAGAAGAGCGAGGTGTCATGTGGATCGAGGGGTTTCCTCAACCTCAGATCCCGGAGGCGGTCCAGCAGGAGGTTGCAGAGGGTGCAGCTGATGAGGAGGTCCAGCCCAAGGACGTGGATGACACTGCTGCTGCCCGCCCCACCACCTTCGAGTACGGGGGTGGCAGTTCCAGTTTCCCGGGGCAGGATTACTTCACCTCCCAGTTCGAGCAGCTGCGTCTCCAGAACCAGCAGATCCTTGACCATCAGATGCAGTTCCAGCAGCAGTACGCGGCTCACCAGGCCGAGTACCACCAGAGGATGGCTGGTTATGATGAGAGATTGGACCAGCTCCAGACCCAGCAGGGAGTGACTCTCGCACACATCGAGCGGGAGAGGCGCCGCTCTCGGCGCATGCAGGAGGTCCAGCAGCATTTACTCCAGCTGCTACTGGGCGAGCAGCCAGTCTGGAGGACTCCATGGGAGGACTCCCCACTTCCATCTCCACCCGCTGATGGTGATGATGGTGCTGATGGTGATGACGAATTCATGGACGACATCGACCTGGATAACCTCGGCGACGAGTAGGCTGTACTCGTTGCCCCTCTCAGTGTGTTTTGTTTTTCGTTTTAGACTTGTGTGTGTTTGCTCCATGTGTGAGGAGCTTGAACTTAGTGTCGTTTATTTTTTTATTTTTTTTTCTTTTGTGGATTGTTTTTGCTGTAGCCGTCTGGGCTAACACTTATCCCTAACACACCATGTGCTAGTGTGTTCTTGGTGTTCGATTCGTGCAGAACTGTCCATCTTCCCGTTTGTTTCTCGCTGACTGGTCCACTTCCAGTCCCCCAGCAGTTTCAATCCGGTAACATCGTTCCCCTTCTCTATCCCTCTGATCCATTGAGGGCAATGTCGTGCTTAAGTGTGGGGGGTGCTTTGTATCGGTTGGAATGTATATATGTGTGCTTGGAGCCTAGTCCACTGTCCAAATCTCGAGATTTGAGGGCTCCAAGTACTGCTGTTTGATCATATTGGCACTGTGTTTTGATTGATGAATTGAATGGTTTTCGGATTGATGCATGACAGCTTGATTGTGACTAGGACAACCCATGATGAGGACTGAGACGTGCAGTAGAATGGTGTAGGGGTTCAGTTTTTCAACTGTTTGCTTACCAACTGTGACTTGGATTGATTACTTGTTCTTGACAGTCTCTTATGCATCTAGTTCAGGGTATCAGAATGTGAGATAGAGCATATAGGTAGCCATGTGAGATTTGAGCCTGCTCGTTTCTTTCTTGTGCGATAGATCCCTCTTCCATGATGTGTAGCATTCACGTTGTCACTAGCTAAGATGATGGGGGCATAGGATTAGCCCACGACCAAATTTGACTGTACTGATATGTCATATCCCCTAGTCAGCCCTTTTGAGCCGTGTGTTATCCTTTCTTTTGGTCTGAAATGGAAAAAAAAAATCACCCTTTTGCATCTTTTAGAAGGTTCCACAGAGTGGTTTTTACATATTCTCTGCTGTTTCTGCTAGATTTGATGTGAGTGTTGGAGGTAGTGCTTAATTGTTGAGCTAGGCATGTGTTTGAAATATATGCAGAAGTGGTGGCTCTCTTAAGAAGTGAAAAGGAAATGAAAGAAAAACAAAGAAAAATTGAAAGCAAAGAGAGCCACTACCAAAAATCTGAATAATGCCCAGTAAGTAGTGTTTCTTAGCAGTCTGGCTTGGAAATGCTGACATTTATACCTCCTTCGATCTTGTGCTCTTGAGATATTGAGTAATGCAGAATAGCAGAAAGGAAATACCGGTTTGTTTGACTGTGATTGTTTGGGTTTGGAAATGTGGAACCTTGTGCTATAAATACTTCCACCACCTAAAAGGCCTTTTCCCCATGTCCAAGACCCTAGCCAGTCATTTGAACCTGTGTCTAAGACCTCCTGATTAGTTAGTGGTGACACCCCATATGTGAACTCTAGCATTTAGAGGCTGCCATCATGGTGAAGAGATGTTAGGGATTGAGAGAAATAACATGCGCATTTTTCGCATCAAATTGTCCTGACCCCACTGGTCGAGAGTGAGTGATTCATTTTTCATATTCTATATACTCTTGTACCCCGGTGAGGACCTAGATTGCTCGGTCTCTATTCTGATGTCTTGAGTTGGATGCATGAGTTGACTGTTTTGAGTAAGTGGTTGAGTCAAGTCTAGGTTGGTTGGTGAACAGAAGGGAGACTCTTCCTTTACTCGATTTTGCTGCACTCGAATGTCCTTTGTGGTGGTTGTCCAGGTTGCTGTTGAAGTTGGTCATGTATTGATGTTTGAAAACCAGTACAATTCACGTGTTCTGTGCCTTTATGACTTGTCCCCAATGTTGGTTGATTGAAATATGTAAGCTTACCTTGTGTCTGACATGGTTTGCTTGGGGACAAGCAAACGGTTAAGTGTGGGGGAGTTTGATAGACCGTTAATTACACATGTTTTTACCCCTGTTCTTACACCGTTTGAGATGTGATTTCTTGTGTTTTAGGCCGATTTCACGCTAGGTTGTGCTTGTTTGTGATATTTCAGGTCCTAGTACGTGAATGGAGGCTTGGGAGCGAGTTTGGGGTCGATTGGACGAAGATCGGGCGCGAGGCAAGTCAAAAAGGAGGCCACACGGGCACACCCATAACTCACACGGCCGTGCAACTCATATTTGTGGCCGTGTGAGATTGTGCGAGAGAAAACACGGCTTGCCCTGATATCCACACGGCCGTGTGAAGGAGTGGCTTGGCCGTGCGAGTTTTGCCGAGAGCAAACACGGGCAGATGGAAATCTCACACGGCCGTGCGACCCTGGCCGTGTGAGAAGCCTGAAGATCGAACTAATTGGAACGCAGCGTTTTGACTCACACGGGCAACTGGGTATGCCACACGGCCGTGTGGCCCTGCCCTTGTGAGTTGGGATTTCCTGGTTTTAACCCAATTTCGGGCTGCAAGAGAGAGAATCGGACTTTTTGAGCAAAAACAGAGCCCTAGAGAGAGAAAGGACGAAGAACACACCCTAGAAGCCATCTTGGAGCTGGGTTTCATCAAATCAAGCTTGGAGATCGTCATAGGAGTGGAAATCATCATCCCAGAGCAGATTTTCCTCATCTTTATGAGTATGACTACTTTGTATCTTGTTTTTCTCTCTCTCTCTATGGAGTAGAACCCCTCTCTCACTTGGGGATGAAGAACCCTAGTTCTATGTGTTAGGGATTGATTGTAATGACTTGGGATGATATTACTGTTTGCTTTTAATCGAATGATGCATGTTTATTGAGTCAATTGAAGTCTGATCAACTTTTCCTGATTCCTGCTGCAATCTGAGATAGATAGAATCTGATTAGGTTGCTAGAGTCTCATCATTCGATAGTAGGAGATTGGCTATACGAGAGTTAGCCAGTTTACTGCTTTGTACTGGAATCCAATTCCAGTAGTGGAGTTCTGTTCTTACTGCTTCAGCTTTCTATCCCGGTGAAGACTAGTCGTCTGCCGGGTAGTTAGACTGAGAGGGCTTGATCAGCTTAAGAGATTCCAAGCTACTGTCGGATCTTCCGCAGTCTAATCTACAGTATATCAACCCAGGGAAATACAATTGAAACCTAACTAAGGAGCTAGGGGGATTCATTCCCGAGTGACTCTTTCCTGCTTGAGAAAACCGTATCAATTCCTGCTTTCTTTCTACTTTTGCTTTTAAACAACAATCACTTAATTTAGTTGGCTAGATAATAGAGAATCACTGAGTAAGCAGTAGACCTAGACCCCGGGTTGATAATATAACTTGCCTGTTACTGCATTCCCGGTCTGCGATTATACTTGGTCGCAGATTGGTGTTGTGTTTTGGTGTGTCACTATGACACAACTCTTAACAAAGGTCAAGTGTAACCAATGAAAGGGACTGCAGTATAGTGGCTCAAATAATAAATATCGAATCCACGGGTCTATAGAGTTACTATTACTCAGCTTCAGTTCATTATCTAGCAAACCAAATTAAGATGGAAAAACTAAAACTACTCTAGCAAACTACAGTTAAAGTTAATCTAATTACAGGTTGGGAACTCACTTAGGCATGATTCCCCCTAGCCACTAGCCAGATTAATGATTGATGATCTCTAACCTATTTCACTTTCATTCACAATGCGGAGAATCCTTAACTAGACCTTGAGTCTGGACTAAAGGAACAAGGCCCTCTTGAGTCAATTGCCTAGAGGGATGTATCCTTCTCTAGAACAACCGATCAAGGCGTTCTAAACTAGACTCCCTCTATCGAATGAGGTTCTCAATCGATACAAAGCAGTGAATCGACCCAAGTTTCGTCCTCCGAGTGTGACCATAGAAATCCATTCTTCTTCATGTCATGCCCGAGTTTCGTCCCCCGAGTTGCCAATTTATATCCGATTGACTTGAAACTTGCGCCTATGCTTCACTTTATGTTCTATGACCTTAAATGTGAAAAAGGAACGCAACCTAGCGTAAAATAGGGCAAAGAAGCGATAATTCAAGCTTAAACGATCAAGAAGCAAAGGGAAAAACATGTGCAAATATCGAGTCATCACTTGTTATTCTCCTTATATGTCCATTCGTCTACCTTCATGCTTCACATTGTAGATTTTGGTATTTTCAGAGATGTTATGACTCTCGGCTTGGACTCGAATTGAAGAGCACGAAGACAGAGTTTCACCCCTCTTTTTATCGCCATCAGCCACCATTTGTTCTAATGTTTTCTTGATCATTGATGACGAAGAGATGTTGAAGACTTTTGGTAACAAGTGCAAGTTTTTATTTGCTTTGTAGGTCCTATATATGGGTCGGTTGTTTCCGTCTCTCAGTCTCCGTGCCCTTTGGCTCCTCGTCCGTGAACATTGGTGGGAGGTTGAAGGTGCCAAGTCTAACACCTCACCCTAAAATCATGGGTCGAACCGATGGTTCAACCGCGCAGCGGAAATCACTCGGGGTTTACGTTTTGGAAATCTCGACTCAACTCACATCCACATCATTATGATATGTTTAAAACTCAACTCATCATAACAATTTACTAAAACTCACTTTCTCAATTCATTAATCAATCTTCGTCAAATTCAAGGTTCACAAAACCCAGACTATCAATCTTTTCTACTCCGTTCATACTCAACTCAATTTAATTATCATACTTGACCAATGTAAACTATCATGCATGCTCAAAACTCGGATCGAAAATAAGGATTTCGGAGTACATCAATATGTGAAAACCTTTTAAATCAAAATCCTCCATCGATCATTGTGCAGTACCAAAGTCATCCTCAATTTACCACACCTGTCACATCTAGAAAGAAAAATGGATCAGCTCCTAAGCTGAGTGTGTGGACCTGGCCTATACGGTAAAACTATTGTTAGCATGCCATCACATAATCACATCTTGTTGGTTAAAAACATATCATCAACATATTATCATGCCACACAAAAATCTCATTAATTCCTAAATTTAATTATAGGTCATCAATGCAAATTCATCTTTACCCACTTCCTCATGGCATGATTCTCATTAATCAAGTCATATATCGAAATGATATCGTAAACTAACCTCCGATCAGGAATTTATCATATCAATCCTTCACTCAAAGTCAACTCATCATTTAAACATCAAACATATCAATTATCCATCCACTATCAAATCACCAATTTGGTATCAATCATATCAATCTTTCAATCAATCATCAATCGAATACAACTTCACGATTTCCTTCATGGAAATCATCTCCTTTCTCTAAAGAGTACGTAAGTAAACTACCTTCCCGTAATCGAACCTTCCACAGAAAGCAGCTCGCACTCGGTAATAAGACTAAAACATGGATTCTTTCCCATCGACTGTTCCTCTCACTTTGTTCGAGCTACTTCGTGCCTTTCACAGGGACCAGGACGAATAGGGAACGGGAGCTACTCTTTTCGTTTCGGGATTGGATTGGAGTAGGTAAGGGCAGCGGGACCAGCAAAGCAAGATGAACAATCAATCGGACCAAGCAAGCTATTAAGCCAACTAACAAAGCCACAAGCTATAGGCAGGGTCCTTTGTTAGCTCTACGATTAAGGAGTACGTCACCTTCCTTTAGTAAACTAACCTCGTCGTATGTTGAGTTTTACTATACTAAATGAGTTGGCGATGCATGAAATGCAGACTCTCCATTTGCTATTAATTTGCGCGCAAAGGTTACCATACGCCCACCCCGCTCGAGCTCATCATCGTAGTGGTTATATCAAAAACCATAATCTCATCAAATCTAGGATTATCATAAATCCTTTCATTAGGACTGCAACCCAATCTATCTCATAGGGGTAGGCATAGGCCCTTCTATGTCTATGTGATTTTACATCATCAAACAATATCAATTTCTCTCTTCCATCATATCTCAATCGATCCAAGAAACCAACAGTGTCCATTGATATTCCCAGTCCATGTGTATCTCACATCATCATATCATCTCAATAATATAATAATCCATCCTCTTCAATCAATCTTGACATAACTACCAGGTACTCAATTTATCAATACCTCACTCACTCATCATAATCATTTATCACGTCAACATTTCATCCACATTAATAGTAATACAAATCGATCATGATAGTATCTCATTCACATCATCATTAATCAAAGCATCCATCCTATCAACATTGTCACAAAACATCTTAGTAGCATTCATATTTATACAAACCGATATTCTAATCACGTCCAATGTAGTCAAAATCCCGATTTTAATCTTAAAATCTTACGATTTTACGATCTTACCTATGGGTTCCGATCCTGATTTTACTGTAAAATCTTTGAACCTTAAAATCCCATAAAATCCCGATTTAAAACTCTAAAATCCATAAAATCTACGATTTCTACGATTTTGTACGATTTCAAGGTTCATATAAATTGGATCAAAATTAGGCCGGTCAAGTTGGGTTATGCCCATGAACCGAGTCAAATTTACTTTCCCCAACCCAACATAATGAACAACACAACCCCAACCTGAAAGTTAACCCTCAATTTATTTTCATTCTCTTCCTCGTATCTTTCTCTTTCGCACGTCGGCGCCCAACTCCTTCCATCAATGATATCTTCCACCCTCCCAATTAGCTTGTAGTTTGTTCCCACCACCCTCACAATAATCCAAATCTCCATTACATTGCAAGCTTTTGTTCATCTCCCAATCCTTCAGCACCACTAACCCGACCTTTTATCAATTAAGAAGGGAATGCATCAATCAATGAGTTATCTTTTCCAGATGATGGTAATCAAGGAAATATGGTTAATGGTGAAAGTACTTCAAGTGATCATAAGAGTAATGATATTAGTCCTTAAACAAATAAAAACGATGAGAGTGAGGGTGAGGGTGAGGTTGAGGATGATGACGATGATGTGTAAGTGATGTTAATGTTGATCCTAACGATCTTATGTGATTTTCTACTCTTAACAATTAATTAACAGTGATATCTATAATGTTTCAGGTTTCTTATTTGTGTGTTTCTATTATGTACAAGAAAAATATATGGATTAGTTGTGTTTGTTTAGCAAACAAACTTATCTTGGGAAGTAATTATGCTTTATGTGGTTGATTGTTATTCAAGATATGCATTTTTATTACTATTTAGTGTTTTAAGTATTTATTTTAATATGAACCTTAAAATCTTACGATTTTACGATTTTAATCTACGATTTCGATTCTACCTCAGTTTTCGATTTTACTTAAAATCTAGATTTTGACTGCATTGACCATACGAACCATATAATCTAAAATACATCGGTTTACCCATATCGTCCATTAATTAATTATATCAAAATATCAATTAATCATAGTAAGAGTAAAATCTCGTCTTCATCTATTAATAACTTGAATCATTCTAAAAAGGACCATACCTAATATATAATTCACATGATTACCAAAAAATCATTTGAAAAGGTCTCCCTTAATAACACATCATTCAATAAGTATTTTTTAAAGTACAATCTAAATCATAGTTCGTTATAATTCATTAATAAGTCTACCTTCAATATTTCAATTAAATACTCAATTAACCATATCTCAAAATTAATCTTAAAACATAAATTAAATTTAGACCAAGATAAAATATCTCATGGTAATCACTTTGAACTCACACTCTAGTTTAAATAATTTTTTCTTAATCACCACTATTCTGAAAATCATAATACGTTCTCTTTAATAAATAAAAACCACGTAAAAACTGGTGGTTTCATCCATCCAAAAATCCAACTAAGTTCATAAATTTTTTATTTTAATTATTCTAACCAGAATTCAATTCTCATATACTCATCCAATTTATTAATTCCCAATTTCATCCTTTTAACATCATAACATCAATTAATTCTGAAAACTCAATTATTACCAATATAATCATTCTCATGGTAAGATTTCATGACTAAAAGCCATCTCAAATTCCTTAAATATCCTTTCCTCATTCTGATCTCAGTTAATATTTTAAGCAAATACTTTGTATTCACTACATACGCCAACAATTCAAATATGAGAATATTAATATTAATTATCATAATACTCAGTTAAATTTATCGACAATTTCATCCAATACCATAATCGAGTAAGAATGAAAAATCCATCATAATAATCAATCATCAATTCAATCATGCGCATTTAAAGATAAACACGTAATTTCGTTTCCCTTTTACCCTAAGCTCACACACCTTATTTATGAGGAAACTGATTTGGCGACTCTGTAAATTCCAAATATCACTTCTATAATATTCTCCTCATCCTCACGATCCTGTAGGCGAAGACGGTTCATCATTTGAATGTCAAATGAAGGAACTATGAACGAAATATGAATTCTGTAACAACTCAAAGAACTAGGTACTGGTTTCGTAATTTTTCAGTCATCATCTGATCATTGACATCTTTCACAGGTAAATTATAGAAAGGTACTCAAAATTTTTGTACTCGTAGTAATGGTACCTGAACCGATCGATTTCATTCCAAACTTCACAAGCTCGTATCTTACTCGTCCGACGTCGAAAATGGGTTTCATTGAAACGTGCGCGCTCCTGAGATCGTCCTCTTTGTCATGGTACCAAACTTTTGGAGTTTTGTTGAAGTCAACTACGCCGGTGCCGCTGACGCAACTTTCCGGCGAGCCTCCAACGAACTCTTACGAACCTCCAAAGGTGATTCTAACTCCGTAGATGGGTTGTCACACCTCCATATTATCCTAAGGGCTCGTTCAGTATCATTTTGTTGTTGTGGTTGCATTGGAGTTGGGAGAACAGAGGTACAACAACAGAAAAAAATCAGAAAACACAAATCTATTTAGTTGGTAAATATGAGAAATCAAGTAAGCTGACAACAAGAAATAAAAACGTGTTTAGTTACTTCTGTAGGAACTAAAACCAGAAATGAGAGAGATATATTTTCAATAATAAGCATAGACTCATATATATATATATAATAATAGTTGAACATCTTTTGTATCGGTTTCAAGTTTCAACTCAACTACAAAACTTAGAACACTTTACATATGTTCTTCTATAAAAAAACAGTAACAAAATTTTACTATGCAATTCAGACCACTCCTAGCTCAAATTTAGATGCATGAGGAATGTACAGCCCATAGCTTGGTCCCCTGGTAGAACAATAAATCCCCAGAAGGTTGATGCCTCTATTTCTTCAATAAATCATATCCATGGTAGAACAAGGCATCATAACTTTGTCCCCTGATGAACAATAAATCCCCAGAAGGTTGATGCCTCTATTTCTTCAATAAAAAAAAGCTTCCCTCATGCGATTTCCTCTTCGTGGCCATCTCCAACAATCCAAAACAAATTCTCCAATTCCAAAAGATTGCCTCAATAAAAATTCCCTCAATTACAAAACAAACTTCCTACTTGCAGTAACGCAACATCCAACATATTCAAACTCAATGAAGTCAGGAGTCTATAATTCGCACACAAATGATGTGATCCAAATTCGAAGAGAACCCTCGAACTAGGATGATATGACTAAAGTACGCAGCCTTCCTTCTTTTTAAGGATTTTCGAAGCTTTTCTCCAACTTGAACACTCGAAATAAAAGGATAGATATGGAACACAATCAAACAGATTTCAACTCGTGTGAAAGGCCAATTGGTATATGAAACCAATCAAACAATCACCCACTCGTGAATAAGGCCAATCGCTATTTGGTAGATGCTCGCCACAACTAGACGCGTTCTCTAGTTGATAAGAGACACGTGAAACTCCTGGAGACTCTCGACAGAAGCTTGCACAAAGAACTCGTTCACAATGAACTAGAACTCAACTTTGATTGATAACTTGAATATTGGGTACCAAATTCGTAGGTCTTACACCCTCAATTTATAGATGTGTCAAAAACATAAAACTAACCCAAAAGGACTAAGAAAACAAATCCCAAATTAAGTATGAAACATAATACTAATTAAATAAGGACTAAAACTACTAAGTAAACTCCTACTTAATCAAAATAAATAATTAAAGAAATAAATATTGCAACGCCTTTCCTTTTGCCTTGCGGAATGAATTCCGGTCCGCCAGTTTCCGTAGCAGCTGCGCATCCTTCTTTCCTTGTCCTTTGCGGAAACCTTCTCTTTGGCGGAATTGAGAATCTCGCCCACCAATTAATCCTTCCGGCTCAAGATAGGGTGCATAACCATTGGTTATGCATTCATCAATAACCAAATCAAGACCCTTTATTTAGGAAATCCAGATCTAAGGATGGAGAATTAAAGACAATTTTTATTTTCGCTAGCTTTCTTAATCGGCTCATATCTTTTTCATTTTAACTCGGATTTCAATTTTTTTTTTTTTGCACAGGTGGAACGAGTTCATCGTGCTCTCCAAAATGAGATCAATTTTCAATATTTTTTTAGAACAAAAAATTTTGGCCTCTCGGTACCAACTGCATACCATATGGTATTTTTTTCATTTTTAATTCATTTTTGAAAACGTTTGCACAGAAGGGACGAGTTCATCATGATCTATTGGATCTACAAATTTCTAGGTGAACAAATTACAGGATCAAAAAATACCACACAATACCATACAATACCACCCTGGTACGGGGTGGTATTGTATGGTATCTTCTTCGTTTTTAATTTGTTTTTGAAAACGTTTGCACAGAAGGGACGAGTTCATCATGATCTATTGGATCTACAAATTTATGGGTGAACAAATTACAGGACCAAAAAATAGCACACAACACCATACAATACCACCCTGGTACGGGGTGGTATCTTGTGGTATACAATGTTAAAAGTCGTAAATGACAATTAATATATTTCTACTATCATGTATTCAACCATCCTACAGTCTTGGTTTGTTCATACCACCATGGTACTTTTTTCAAACCATAGGTATGCTTTTATTTCAATACCAGTCAATACCATATGGTATAGACTGGTAAAAAATGGCTCAATTTTTTTTGTTCGAAAAATATATTAAAGTGAATATCATTTTGAAGAGCATAATTAATCTGATCTAACTGTGCAAACAAAATTATATTTCGACTTAAAATGAGTGAGAAATGGTCTGTCAAAGATTAAAGAGGGGAAAATTAAAGGCTTTCCAGGAGAGAGATGATGCTGATGTCATGCTGATGTGGACGGATTACTCATAGTTACTCACCACAAGGTTACTCACCGGATCTGCTCCCAATCCTTCCATCTTCACGAGAGCTTGCACAGACACATTCCTTTCTTGATCAATTGGAGATTAATTATAGCAAACATATTGCTTTTCTTTTCACGTGGCCATCCAAAAATCCATGCAACAATAATTTAATCACCTAATTACATCATGCATAATAACTTCTAATCATGTTAACGTGTAATGGTCAGCAGCTAGGAGCCAATTTATTCATCAAGAAAGCTGCCAATTGATACCTATATCGTCGAATTAGAATCTTCATTTTTGGACCCCGGGAATTAAATATCATGCTAGTCGATATCGCATCATTCCCTATTCAAAAAGCTTTGACCTCAAAGCTTGAAGCTGCTTCTTGTCAAAAACTTCATAGAATTGATCCCAAAGTGGATCGAAAGTAGGCTTCTCAAACACTGTTTTCGACGCAAAGATTTCAGCTTCATACTCATCTTCAACCCGTTCAGTAGCTTCGTGGGACTCCAAAGGATCTTACCTACGCAAGAACTGAATGAAATTTGACACAGAATCGGCTCGTGCAAATTTTTGAACTCCAACGAAAATTGTCCAGAATCCGGCGGTACTAAGGTTTCCGACGAGGTCGTTGAGATTAGGGCTTTCGTCCTCGCTCCATTCCGCTTCCATTCATCACCTCCAGAAGGGTTTTCGCACCTCCAGTGTTCGTTTGCAACTCCTTTCTTGAATCGACGTCGCGCAAATCGTCCCAAGTCGAAGCTCCCAAAATTCCCGCCTCTGGGAATTTTGAAATTTCCAGTTTCCGGCCAGCTAAACCCAGAATCCGGCGAGCTACCTGCAAAATTGGGGAAACCCAATCCAAGCGCTTTCGTTCCAATTTTTTTGCTCCTTCACCATCCTTGATACTCCAGAAATCGAACCCAAGTGCTAGCTTGCGTCAAATCCTCTCCAAACTCCACAACAAAGTCACCTCCCTTTTCCTCGTTGTTCTTCGTGTTTGGGATCAAAAAACCCAGATTGGGCATTTTTTTATTGAGGTCTCTTCGGATCAAATCGATCGACGTTAAAGCATCTGGGGATTGATTTCATTGATTCTGCAGTGGCCAATTGCGTCGACTCGTTCTCAATCACTCCAACACATTCAACAATTTTTTGGTCGTGTTCTTTCGTTTGCAGGGGCAGGTGACCTCGAATTTGATTCTGTAATGGAGGCATGTGCGAGTCCATTCCGCCATCGTAGGAGATTTCTAGGCTCTCGTGGAAGGTAACGACGTCAACGGATAAGCTCGGCGCTGCGCGAGCTGCTCCGACCAAAAGCACCTCTCTCCTGCCCTGTTCCGTCGTTGGAAAGCAGAGTTCTGCTGCTCTCGTCACCAGTCTGATTCGCACGTTGCCCGCCATCTTTGAAACTTCTCATGGATCTTCCATCATCCCTTCAGCATCCTCGGACACTTCTCTGGCCATGGCGAGCTCTTCCTTTCCTTCTTCGTCATCGGACACCCTTCCAAAGTCGACACTCTGTCTTTTCATAGAAAAACAGGGTTCGTTGCTGGTGGTTTGCTCCAACGTCGAATTTTCCTTGGGAAGCTTACAAAAGTTCATGAAATTGAATCCCACTCGCCTCTGCACCCATAACTGAGCTCGAGACTCCTTTCCCATGATTCGATTTGACTCCAATTGCTTGAGATCGCCGTAAACTTTGCCTGACGAAAGAGGTTTCAGAACGAACTTCTTTCCTTGGTGTCGAAACTTGTAATAGTTCATCCATCCTTCATTTGTGACCTTACGGTCTAATTGCCAAGGCCTACCAAGCAATAGGTGAGTTGTTTGCATCGGTGCAACGTCACATAACACCTCGTCCTCGTACTTTCCGAGATTAAAACGAACTAAAGCTTGTGTGGTCACATTGATTGTTCCGTGTTCATTGATCCAACTGAGTTGGTAAGGCTGGGTATGTCGTTGCGTTGTCAATCCAAGCTTGCTGATAGCGTCCAGGCTTAAGTTATTTGCACAGCTCCCTCCATCGATCACGAGTGACACCAATTTTCCATCGATGAAGCATCTACTGTGAAATAAGTTATCCCGCTGTTCGTCGGTCTCTCTATGCGTGATGACGACTGTTGGGGACTTCTCTTTGCCACAAAATCGAGCATGCTGCTCCTCCTTACTGCCCTCTACCAACTCCATTGCTCGAAGGGAATTTTTCATTGAAATTTCTCACGAAACAGCAGCTGTAATACACGAATAGGGGCTGCCCTGTTTTAAACACGAATTTTGCTTGTGCCGTAACGCTTGATTGCTTCTTCTCCTTCGCCCTTGTGTAGAACCAGGCTCTGATACCACTTAATATGACCCTGGGGGGTGTATTTTTATCAAAGTAACGCAGCAAACAATCAATCCAAAGATTGGTTGAACTCGAATCAAGAACAACGCGTTCTTAATACGAAATTGGGATAAAACAGAACCAACAGACAATTCCACACCTGGGGAAAGCTCGTATGGTATAAAAGGGTAGTTGCTCGACCATGATTGAAGAGGATATTCAATCGATACAAAGCTCACAAGCTTGGAATCCACCAAACAAGTCGCAACTTGCACAAAACCAAAGGGTTTGTTTTTCGATCAAAGTCTTCTGTTTTACAACATAAATAGAACGGTATTTAAAGGCAAATAAAACCTAATAAAATCCTAATAGAACTAGGCAAAAATTAAGGTAAAAGTCTACACTAAAAAGGACACAAAATTTGGGTTTAAACTCCCTTTCTTGAAGCACAAGTAAGCTGCCAGCAAAACAGTCAAAAGATAGATTTTGGACTAACTTCACGCCTTTTGTTCGAAGCCTTCCCGAACTCCAATCCTTCATCCAATTCCTTCCATTTGTACATAATCATACCTATTTTCATTTTGTGGAAGCCCTTTGACTTGAATCCCCTCCATGCTCCTTGAATTGAGCTCCAAAGTAGGCTTCACAAAACAGTTTTCTGCCTTAGCCATTTTTTGGCAGTTTTCAAGTTCTGAGGTAGCAACTTTGAGGCCTTGGAAAACAGCCTTACTGACATCTTCTGGATCCAAAAACCATACCATTGAAAATATGGAAACTTTATCTTTAAAACAAGCTCTTGATATCCAATTTCCATGGAGCCATTTGTGAGATACAAGCTTCCAAAGTAGGCTACCTGAAACTGTTTCAACACTTGGCCAAAAATCAGAATTCTCCAAGTGAGTTGAGATGACTTCTTTGGCAAGCAATTTTGAATTGTGGATTGATCCAATTGGGATCATATCACACAATCCAACAGAAATCAATGACAAATTAAAAAATACAAGGAATCAGAGACTTACTGCTAATTTGAAACTCAAACGATCGTCGCCTTCCACCGTCATCGCCTTCCTTAACTCGCCGCAAAATCCCAGGCTTCAGAGCCCTCTTCTACTAATGTGGCAATCCTCCACCGACCTTTTTTGCTTCTTACCTTCTCTTCCGCCGCCATTGCAGTCGGAGTCATAGTCGGAGGGGAAGAATAACAAGCTGATCTGCGGGAGTCGGTCGGAGAGAGAGATGCAGAGAGTTGTGCGGCGATTTTGAGTGAAAATAAAGGGAGGCTCGTTTCTGGGAACAGGGTTTGGGATAAAATCATTGATAAAAAAAATGAAGCAGGGGGTCACTGGGATTCGAACGGGGGATGGGTTTTAATGAAAACACATCTCTAACCAGTAGAAAACCCGCGTGCAACGCGTCAGAAAAACATATTTGAAACTACAAATTTACGTTTCGTTGGTTTGGGCTGTGTTGCCAAACCCCATTTCACAACAACAAAAAGAAACAACACTAAACATGTTTTTTCTCCTCGGTTTTTGCATTTTTACATTTGGCAACAGGAAACAAAAACACACAACAATACTAAATGGGAAGCAAAGTGAAAAATGCTTGGTTTCCTCCTCTTTTCTTTCTTCCTCACTTCTTCCTTCACTCCCTCTTTCTCTATGCTCATTTACGGAGGAAAATGGAGTTGTGAAGTTGGAAGGGTTGAAAAGGATGCTCTTTAGATTTGGTTTAGTGATCCCTTGAGACAAATTTTCCCCACCCACGTTACTTTCATTTAATGGGTAGCTGGAGGCAACTCTTATCTCCAATTTTTGTCATAAATCAAATCTGTCTTGCTAAAGAAAATGTGACATTAATTTCTAGCGGTTGGTACGTCTGTCAGGTCAAGTGGTCAGTTACACTGCCATGTTATATCAACCTTTGAAATTGTTCTCCTTTCCATTACAATCCCGTGGGCGCAAACGACTCGTTGTTTCGATTCCAAACGAATAAGTTGTGCCTAAATTAGTGTCGGTACGTACACTCTTTCAATAACGGAATGCAGACTTCAAAATGACATATCTCACCATTTGTAACCCAAATGTAATTCCGTAAAATCATACGTGATCGTGGAAATATTTTCTAAATTATGGAGGCGAGATTTGTTATTAAATACGTAACCATAATTTCAGAATATTCAGAATTTCATAAACCAATCTATAATGTCGCAACTTCGTCTAATATGGTTGAAATTCTTGATTTCTCATCAAACCGAATTGATTTATAAATTGCTCGAGATTTGAGATGTTACACCAAGGTGGTGACAGAAGCTTCCAATGACGGTGGTTTGTGATCATGAGGGTGCATCTTTCCGCTAGGGGTTTTTTTTTTGGCGAAGATATTTTCCGCTAGGGGTTAGAGTAGAATCATTTTTATTGGGTTTGTATTTTTTGGATTAATTTTTCTCTTGATCATGTTGTATGACATGATGTGTGCGAGTCTCTTCCATGAGACTTTGTCTATTTTCTATCGTAATGAAACTTGTTAAAAAAACATACACACATATGTGTGTGTCTTGATGAATCATTGAATCTATATAAAATGGTTAATCGTAAAAAATGAATCTATTACCAATTCACATTTGATGATTGATATAGAGCCTACAGCCGACTGACCATCCATATAAATACGTGAAGTCGGACTTTTTCCTAAAATACTGTAAAAAATTTCTAGAATGCATAACTTTTATAAAATGTTCGCAAAATACCCAAGTTTGGCATTGTTCGAGTTTCTCAAACTCGAACTACATACCAGATCGACATTTTTAAACTCGATCAAAATTTGGATCGAGTTTGCCAGACTAGATCCAAAGTGCATCGAGTTTTCCTAACTCGATCTAGTTACATCGTGGTTTTGTAACTCGATCCACGTTTGCATCGAGTTTGCAGGACTCGATCTACGCTGATCGTGGCTCTACGACTCGATCCATGTATACATCAAGTTGCCTGACTCGATTTATATGAATTATTGGTCGAAGATTATTGGTGGCACTAGATCGAGTATTAGGGACTCGAACTGCTACTAGTTCAAGTGCATGAGACTCGAACCCTTCTCCAATTATTCTGCCAAGTCGCTTTCCGCCCGACATGCTTCAGGATAGGGTGCAACGATAAGATTTTTGGTCCTTATTGATCGATTCCCTTGCACTCGAACTGCACTAGTTCGATGGACACAGCCTCGAACCATGTCATTAGTTTACGAAAATAAAAATCAAGCACTCAGCACATTTTGGCAGTTCATATACTTTCTATCTTCTTTCTTCCAAAAACACAAACTGAGCACCATAACTGAGCAAAGAAGAAGCATTTTGGAGGTAAGTTCTGATTATGTTGGTGAGTGAGCATTATTAGTTTGGATTAATTTTGTATTGTTTGAACTGTATGTAATGGGTTGTTTCTATAAATTGCATAAATGGGTAAAAAATTTCGAAAATTTGACCTATTGATTCGGTGGAATGGTCGAATTACATATTTTCATAATAGTATTGACTACAAACGTGGTGAATCAAGTGATGTCCGGATTGAGAGCATATTTTCTTGGCAAGATCTCTGCCACATTTGTGCAGAACGATGTTGCATAGGGTGGCAAGAGTATGCAAGATGACTTACCGTATGCCAGTTTACTAAGGATATGCACTTGTATATGAAGGATCAATTATGTATGACGATGATGACATTAATATGATGGTGAGATTTATTGCACAAAATAGATTTCCAATTGTCGAGGTGTATGTCGAGAATAAAGATGTTGGCCAGTATGGTGGTGGGGTTATATCGAACCAGGTTAAGGATAGGTGGAGTTTCCGGTTCTGGATATTTTGGAGGTACAACGGATGTACCACATCTTCTCGAACTTGCACAGGGAATCTAACTGGCTCTTACCAACGTTTACTTCTCCTTGGTGGCGATGGCGGGAGGGATTCAACTTCAAGGGCATGGGAGGAATGACGTGGCGGTGCAGGTGCAGGTGGATATGCAATGATATCCCTTCGAATTTACCGCGAACATGACATGAGATTCTTAAAGAGCTTCTTCAAGAATGAAAATTTCTTAGGCCCCAAAGTTGGTTCTGGTTCAGTCTCTAGAGTCATTGACACAAGTTCCAACCCATCAACCTAGTTAATCAAATACTATCTGTGTAGCTAAAGTAAATAAAGGAGAAATAGATGTATGCTTACCAACGATAGGAGGACGATACCACGTTTAATTACCCATCTTTTTGTGATCTTGCGGTACCAAACCATATATTCATCTTGGTACCCCCATTGGCCTTGTCATTGGGATGCCATCAATTGTATCCGTATGACGAGCCTCTTGTTAGAATTAACTATAACATATATAATTCCCCGGAATCCATCATCTTGTCAGATTATCAAAGGTTGAAAGAGTTACCTGATTTCATGATGTAGACTGTCCGAATCTTGATGCGGAATCTGAAAGACGTATTATGACCGGACGATACTTCTAAGAGCACGACCCGGGAGGTAGCGTGATTTTCCTCAACCAAGCCTCCTTAATCCACTAACGGGAAACCTCGCGTATTCTTGATGGGGAGAATATGTGTGTATGTTAGTTAGTCTTAGTGTATTGGGGACCACAACCTCAAGGTTCCTTATATTCTCACCACCATGGGCTCCCATAAAACCCATAGGTGTAAGTATTGGGTTTCCACCCATTTAGATCCATATCACATACAAGATATCTTTGGGATCCTAATTTGGATCACTTACAATTAGCCCACTTAATCAAATAGTTCATATAATTGTAAAATATGTGGCCCATATCAATATAGGAAATAGAATTTCTTAACAATCTCCCACTTGGGCTGCATATTTTCCTTGAAACAATTATATTACAAAATTCTTTAGGCGCGCAACCGTAGGCTATTTGTGCTTAGACATCTCCTAAAACAATCTGGTCCACCTCATGCATCAATTATGGAACCAACGCGGATTTAATAACAATACGATAATGATTAAACCACCATGATCACCATACCAATACACTCAATGACATAGATCAAATATGGATGAGTGGCATGAAAATTACATGCAATGTGATCTAATACATGCCTATTTTCAACTGGTCCAACTTTAGTCCTTATTGAGATCAACTGAAATTCCTTCACACAATGTGACCATTGTATAACTGAAGGCACTTTAAATTCCAAAATAGACTCTAGAAAACCATCACTTTATTCTGCAGAATTGATTTAGTCATAATCTATTGAACTACTTAAATGACTCTCACTAAACCAAGGTACCATCCTGAATAACACTCATGCGAGCAATATGCTCATGAAAATCTTTATGTGTCAAACCATTGGCTAATGGATAAGCTAGCATTAGTCATTTTCTTAATGTTCAATAGAAACTTGTCTATTTTGAACTTTATCTTTAACCTCCCGGAGCTTGATGTCAATATATTTGACTTCTGAAATCCGTGGTAATGATAGTGTATCACTATTAATTTATTACCTTTAATGACTTACGAAATTCATTCTAGTGACGAAAATTTTGCAACCATAATTGGAAGTCTCAAGATATGCTTTGAACTCTACCCAACACTGAAGGGTAACCAGATGTAGAGTTTATGCTACCTTGACATCCTGTAACATCATAATCAGATTACTTGATGATCTCTAAATTATCTGATCTCTAACAAATTTGCATGAATTCTTTTATCAACTTTAGTAAACGTGTTACACGTTTGAATCCTTCTAGTGTTTCATGCATAGATCAATCAAATATTTGTCAAAGACTCTTACTAGAAATGATTTATTGGGATGAGAATAAACTAAAGTATACATTAGTTCTTTAATGCAAATATGCATTTAAGAGATTTTGTATATTAATTTCTTATATATAATTGGGGCACTGATTGAGACCAAAACTGTCTTCCTTAGCTACAACACATCTCCTGGTTTACTAACTTATTCTACTTGCACCTTAAGTAGAACACACATCTCTTGAGTGTGTGTGGTAAAAATATTCCTTATGTTTCCTTCCCTAAAACTCAACATACTCAAGAAATCTCACATTTCTCATTTAAAAAACTTCTTGGGGTGGGATTGTAAAACTTGTAGCCTCGAGAGTACTTTTGAGTAGCCAATAAAGTATAAGTTAATTCTTTTGTCCATTATACCTTCTCGTACCTTACAAGGTATTTCCTAAGTTGGACATCCCTAAATGTGCAAGTCCTTATTGCACATATTGGTTATATTAACTACTTTTCTGGATACTCAATTTAAGGATGTACGTTGTAGCCTTTATGGCTTTATTTGAATGGAGTCTAGTAAGTAGAAATACTTCTCACCATGTCCTTAAGAGTTCAACAAAATCATAAAATCCTTAACTCTCTATTTGTTCCTTTACTGACAATACGAGGTTTAGTAATTGAGTTCAGTCTTATCTCGTATCTTCCCTCCTCTTCTTTTGTGAGTATTAGTACTCACCTAAAACTTCACGGAGGAAGATAAATTAAACTAAGTGTTGAGTATGTCTTTTGACAACTCCAACTTCAGTCACTTGATTTTAATGCAAAATAAGACACCTCCAAAATATAATACACTTGTACATTTTGCCTTTGCACTTTATGGATTAAATTACCCCAATAGGCAGCTTACCCCGGATCCTTTTATGTTTTGGCAAAATATTGTATTATTACTTCAATGAACCTCAGAGCCATATCAGTATAATAGCCTCATAATTATTCATCGAATAGAGCGCTTAATGATCATCATGCACACTGAATTTGATATATCTCTATTCGCTATTATTAAATCTCATTGAGATTTTCCGAAGTAGAATAAGGATTGTTCCATGTAAGTAAACAAGACAAGAAAATTATCTAATTTTAGGGACCCATCATAAGATACCAAATGCAACATTAATTCTTAGTCTTTGGATAGAGAAATTAACCGCGAGTGGTACTCTCAATACAATGATCAAATACTGATAATAAGTTCTGTCAAACAACAGTCTATCTTTGGACCGACTGTTATTCACATGAACAACAACTTTATAATTATCACGTATTTACCATTAATGTGCTTGATTATTTTGGCCAAATAGTGTCCTCCTTTGGGTCGAGCACTACCCACATAAAATAATCTTACACGTACATCCATGTACTCTAAGTTGAATAATTCTTCGCAAGTAGAGGTTACTTTGGCAACATACTGCTAAAATTAATTTAATTAAAAATACTTGACAATTCTCTCATAATTACAAAATATCTATATGTGATTAATTATCCTTAAAAGAGAATTACATTAATAATTTTAACAAAGGTTTACTCCATCATAAAACACCATGCACTCCATCAATATTTCATCTCTGGACAAAATATTAACTTGTAAGTGATGTCTTATGACATAGTAATAAAAGTTGATGACAAGAACATGTGAAACAGTAAATCTGTCTTTGGTCCGATTTTTTAATTCACATGTGAACCGAATATCATCACACATTATTACTACATGCGCGTATATGAAATCTTAAATATTCACATACCTTTGGGCCAGTGAATACATACTTAAATTACACGCGCTATATAAACCTTTACCATATTGAGATTTAGATTGTCTAATCGTACCCCAAATATTGGTTTACTGAAATAAGGCTTATATTCCTCAAGAAATACTAGTCTTGTTTAAAATATACTACAAGGCAGAAAATGTACAAAGCAACTGTAAGTGCATTTTGCTCAATTAGAGCAATGCACAAATTAACTTCAGGGTGCATACTTCTTAAGCAGACCAATAGTTTAACGTAGATATACATACATATGCATTATAAAGATCAGCCACAAATTTATATACTATGTAGCTCTACCAAGCAATAAATTATAAAATCAATGTGACAATATGATATGATCCAAATCCGAAGAGAATCCTCGAACTCGGATTATATGACCAAAGTACGCAGCCTTCCTTCTTTTTAAGGATTTTCGAAGCTTTTCTCCAACTTGAAATAAAAGATAGATGCGGAATCAATCGGACAATCCCAACTCGTGACAAAGGGCAATTGGTATATTAAACCAATCGGACAGAATCAACTCGTGGAAAGGGGCAATTGATATAGGATAGATGCTCGCCACAACTAGACGCGTTCTCTAGTTGATAAGAGACACGTGAAACTCCTGGAGACTCTCGACAGAAGCTTGCACAAACGTTCACAAAGGAACACGAGTAAAAACTCTTAATTGATAACTTGAATATTGGGTACAAAATTCGTAGGTCTTACACCCTCTATTTATAAAGGTCTCAAAAACATAAATCTAACCTAAAAGGAATAGGAAAACAAATCCCAAACTAACTAGAAAATATAATAATAACTAACACATAAATAAACTACTAATTCAACTTCACCATTGCACCGCTCTGCTGTCCTTTTCCTTCTCCGCAACGGAATTGATTCAGTTCTTCCTTCTTTCCTTAGCTGCAGCGGAATCCTTACTTGCCCTCACTCTTCACGTGTAAGAGTTAAAGGTTGAATTAATCAACCATTAATTAATCCATGCAGTCTTAACGTGAGCTTGTGAGACTCCTGCTTGCTTGCCATGAAGACAAATTAACCAAAAGCAATTAAATTGCTTTCCACGTGAGAACATGGGTATAATGAGTCATAGAATAATTAATCACCCTGCTAATTACACCATGCATAAAATTCTCATGCCATACGTGTTGTGCTCCTGGCAGTAGTTTCAAGCGCCATTTATGCCTTAAGAATGCTCCTAATTGATCTTTAAATCGTCGAACCCGAATCTTCATTTTTGGACCACGGGAACTAAATATCGTGCTAGTCGATATTGCATCATTCCCTCTCTCTTGAAGAAGATTCGACCTCGAATCTTTATAGAATTTTGATTTCCAATCAGCACCACTCTTCTGGGCCTTCGAACGAAATTGTTGTGGTAGCGAGAATTGTATCATTCCCCCCTTCTTTAGAACAATTCGTCCACGAATTGTAAAGACTCCATTTTGATGAAAACCTTCCACATAGCTCTGCAATTCTCGTCGCTTTTTCATGCGTGCTCCCTCTTCGAAAATTGCATCACCAACCACGAAATCAATATGATCATATTCAGGAACAATTGATGAATCCCCCAGAATTTTCATGCATTCATCTCCTCCATTGATTTCTGGTTTCTTCATGTATTGCTCACAATCCGGCGCACCCAAAGCTGGCTTTTCAACAAGAACATCTTCTATCGCCTCCTCATCATCTTCATGCTCTTCACAACAAGTATCAAAAAGTGGACCTTCCATAGGAGATATTTCAATATACTTCTCCTTGTCTTGATCTTGCTTTGATGAATTAATTCCCAATAAAGCTTCCAATCGAGCAAGTTTGGTGTCCCATTGTTCTTCCAATAGTGCTTGCCCATGAAGAATAACTTCGATCGTCGTGAGAGCTTGCTTCATTGTCTCCACCAATCTTTGACCTTGCTCCATTATTGATTTTCAAAGGCTAACAAGAATCACAAAAACAGAAAAAACCAAACAAACAATTTTTTTTTTGTTTTTTTTTCTTTCACCACGTACAGCTTTGTGGCTGTGTAACAAGATTTTTTTTTGTTTTTCTTTACTTTTTTTTTTAATTATGTGAACAGTACACGAAATTTAAAATAAAAATAATTAAACTGAAACAGAAAACACAACTACTTGCTCTTTCTTCTACCGCAAAAAATTGTTTTTTTTTTCTGATTTGTATTTCTTTTTTTTTTTCTTAATCTGCCTTTTTCAATGTTTTTTTTTCTCTGGCTTTTTCAGGAAAAACCTCTTACAATAAAAAAAATACTGAAATTAAAATACCTCTTTTTTTTTTGCTGCTGAGTTTGAACCGGTTGTCTTCAAATCGCCGCTGAGTTTGAACCGGAAGCTCTGATACCACTTGATATGATCCAAATCTGAAGAGAATCCTCGAACTCGGATTATATGACCAAAGTACGCAGCCTTCCTTCTTTTTAAGGATTTTCGAAGCTTTTCTCCAACTTGAAATAAAAGATAGATGCGGAATCAATCGGACAATCCCAACTCGTGACAAAGGGCAATTGGTATATTAAACCAATCGGACAGAATCAACTCGTGGAAAGGGGCAATTGATATAGGATAGATGCTCGCCACAACTAGACGCGTTCTCTAGTTGATAAGAGACACGTGAAACTCCTGGAGACTCTCGACAGAAGCTTGCACAAACGTTCACAAAGGAACACGAGTAAAAACTCTTAATTGATAACTTGAATATTGGGTACAAAATTCGTAGGTCTTACACCCTCTATTTATAAAGGTCTCAAAAACATAAATCTAACCTAAAAGGAATAGGAAAACAAATCCCAAACTAACTAGAAAATATAATAATAACTAACACATAAATAAACTACTAATTCAACTTCACCATTGCACCGCTCTGCTGTCCTTTTCCTTCTCCGCAACGGAATTGATTCAGTTCTTCCTTCTTTCCTTAGCTGCAGCCGAATCCTTACTTGCCCTCACTCTTCACGTGTAAGAGTTAAAGGTTGAATTAATCAACCATTAATTAATCCATGCAGTCTTAACGTGAGCTTGTGAGACTCCTGCTTGCTTGCCATGAAGACAAATTAACCAAAAGCAATTAAATTGCTTTCCACGTGAGAACATGGGTATAATGAGTCATAGAATAATTAATCACCCTGCTAATTACACCATGCATAAAATTCTCATGCCATACGTGTTGTGCTCCTGGCAGTAGTTTCAAGCGCCATTTATGCCTTAAGAATGGACCCGAGACCTTTAGTAACCCGAATCTAACCCGAATCTTCATTAATGATGCAATATCAACTAGCACGATATTTAGTTCCCGTGGTCCAAAAATGATTATTCGGGTTCGACGATTTAAAGATCAATTAGGAACATTCTTAAGGCATAAATGGCGCTTGAAACTACTGCCGGGAGCACAACACGTATGGCATGAGAATTTTATGCATGGTGTAATTAGCAGGGTGATTAATTATTCTATGACTCATTATACCCATGTTCTCACGTGGAAAGCAATTTAATTGCTTTTGGTTAATTTGTCTTCATGGCAAGCAAGCAGGAGTCTCACAAGCTCACGTTAAGACTGCATGGATTAATTAATGGTTGATTAATTCAACCTTTAACTCTTACACGTGAAGAGTGAGGGCAAGTAAGGATTCCGCTGCAGCTAAGGAAAGAAGGAAGAACTGAATCAATTCCGTTGCGGAGAAGGAAAAGGACAGCAGAGCGGTGCAATGGTGAAGTTGAATTAGTAGTTTATTTATGTGTTAGTTATTATTATATTTTCTAGTTAGTTTGGGATTTGTTTTCCTATTCCTTTTAGGTTAGATTTATGTTTTTGAGACCTTTATAAATAGAGGGTGTAAGACCTACGAATTTTATACCCAATATTCAAGTTATCAATTAAGAGTTTTTACTCGTGTTCCTTTGTGAACATTTGTGCAAGCTTCTGTCGAGAGTCTCCAGGAGTTTCACGTGTCTCTTATCAACTAGAGAACGCGTCTAGTTGTGGCGAGCATCTATCCTATATCAATTGCCTCTTTCCACGAGTTGATTCTGTCCGATTGGTTTAATATACCAATTGCCCTTTGTCACGAGTTGGGATTGTCCGATTGATTCCGCATCTATCTTTTATTTCAAGTTGGAGAAAAGTTTCGAAAATTCTTAAAAAGAAGGAAGGCTGCGTACTTTGGTCATATAATCCGAGTTCGAGGATTCTCTTCGGATTTGGATCATATCACAATAATTCATGGCACTTATAATTCAAACAAGTTAGCGCTAGAAGAATTACCAATAGCGCAACTGGTGACAATATTAATCAGCCGCTCATATTAATATTATCATTCATACCAAATAACTGGATGGCAAACTAAGGCACGTATTTTCTCTTCTGTTAAAAAAAAACACTTCCATAACTCTTAACCAGAAGATGATTATAATTCTTATTGAAACCACCCAGATCCGTTCAACCAAATAAACCTGACTGAAGATAGTAATAGTAATTATTGAAACCCGTCGGATGATAAACATTTGAAACACACCAAATGTTTTCCCATCGAACTACCTAATGGCGAGGACAAATATCTATACGGTAGGATGGCAAGTTGGCAACCTTCGGGGACATCCGATAAAAAATGAAATAATGGAGGCATAACAATGGTAAGATAATAATTAAGTAAATACTTCCCATAATCCGTTACAACAATTAGTTAATCCATTCCGCAAAAATCGGGATTTTTCAAATAATAGCACCTTTTAAAAAAAATTACAAAACTAGCACCCAGTCGAAAAAATTTACAAAAATAGCACCATTTTTAATAGACCGCACCTCGAAGGTGCGTATTATAAGTAAATCGCACCCTCCAGAAGAGTTTTAGGTATAAACCGCACCTTGGAGGTGCGTTTTGCGCCACGTCAGACTGGGAACCGCACCTCCTAGGTGCGGTCTGTGTTTGGTGGGCAGCGGCCTTGGAGACCGCAGGATCAGGTGGCGACCTAGCGGGCAGAACGCATCCCACGTCAGCGATCCTTGCCACGGATCGAAGACCGCAGCGCCAGGGAGCGGCAACCCTCGGGGAGCGTAAACCGCGCCGGGAAGGCGCGGTTTTGACTGGAGAAAAATTACCAAACCGCCCCTGGAGGGTGCGGTCTGATGGGTATAAATACCCCCTCCCCCTCTCATTTTTTCACCCCTCCCCTCCCCTCCCAAAAGCCTAGGAAATAGTATTCGATTAAATTATTTAAAACAATCAATACGATTAAATTACTTACCAAACAACCGATACGATTTATTTTTATGTGTACTTAAATGAATTTATTAATTTCAAATGTTTGAATATGTATGTATCTCCTTAAATTATTATTCATTTAAAATTTTATTTATGCCAATTAATTTAGTATGTTTATTTTATGACTATATGTATATATCTTGGAAAAAACCCCAAATTACTTAAATTTTGATTGTTAATAATATAATTATAATATAATTATATTCTAAATTAAATCATTAATTTTAATTAATTTAGTTATAAGACTAAACTATTACTTATATATCATAAATAATTTTAACAATGGTTGAAATTAAATCATTAATTTTGATTTATTTAGTTATAAGACTAAACTATTACTTATATACCATAAATAATTTTCATAATGGTTGAAATTAAATCATTACTTTCAATTTATTTAGTTATAAGATTTAGCTAAATTGCTTCAGTATCAATGGCGTGCCGCACCTCCTTCTTCGAGCCAAATTGTTGGCCCTTCATAAACCTAGTGAGTGGAGCCCATATTGGAACCTCCGGCGGTTCCATATCGCTGTCGACCATCCAATCTCCGTCTGGATTATGATTGTAGGTAGGGGACTGGTACACTGTCATGAGCCACCTCATCATCCTTATCTGAGTCTGACTCTGGTCCTGAATCATCAGCACCTTCAAGAGTGTCGGAGCTGTCTGCACTGACATTGTTCTCTCCTTCTTCATCGGAGGGGTCACTGACTGGTGCTGGCAGGGCATCTTCCATCTGATCCAGCTCATGAAAGGAACCTTCATCAGCTCCATAATGGTAGTTGTGAAAACAACCACTGCCTGATTGGAAGTTGTATTGGGGTTGGTTGGCATGGTCTGGTTGAACTTCTTCTTCATATGACGGGTAAGATTGATGATGACCTTCACCTTGCTCTTGGTATTGAAAATCGGAATGAGGATCATGGTAACTTTGGTAGGGATCTCCATATAATTCACCTCCACCATGGATACCAGATGTTTGACCGTCTCTAGAATGACCTCCAACACCAACGACCGGCTCGGTGATGCTCTAAAACACAACACCAATCTGCGACCAAGTGTAATCGCAGACCGGGAATGCAGTAAAGTGACAAGTGATATTATCAACTCGGGGTCTAGATCTACTGCTTACTCAGTGATTATCTATTATCTAGCCAACTAAAGTAAGTGATTGTTGTTTAAAAGCAAAAGCAGAAAGAAAGCAGGAATTGGTACGGTTTTCTCAAGCAGGTAAGTGTCACTCGGGAATGAGTCCCCCTAGCTCCTTAGTTAGGTTTCAATTTTATTTCCCTGGGTTGATTTACTGTTGATTAGACTGCGGAAGATCCGACAGTAGCTTGGAATCTCTTAAGCTGACCAAGCCCTCTCAGTCTGACTACCCGACAGACGACTAGTCTTCACCGGGATAGAAAGCTGAAGCAATAAGAACAGAACTCCACTACTGGAATTGGATTCCAGTACAAAGCAGTAAACTGGCTGACTCTCGTATAGCCAATCTCCTACTACCGAATGATGAGACTCTAGCAACCTAATCAGATTCTATCTATCTCAGATTGCAGCAGGAATCAGGAAAAGTTGATCAGACTTCAATTGACTCAATACACATGCATCATTCGATTAAAATCAAACAGTAATATCATCCCAAGTCATTACAATCAATCCCTAACACATAGAACTAGGGTTCTTCTTCCCCAAGTGAGAGAGGGGTTCTACTCCATAGAGAGAGAGAGAGGAAAACAAGGTATAAAGCAGTCATACTCATTACAATGGGAAGAATTTGCTCTGGGATGATGATTTCCACTCCTATGACGATCTCCAAGCTTGATTTGACGAAACCCAGCTCCAAGATAGCTTCTAGGATGTGTTCTTCGTACTTTCTCTCTCTAGGGCTCTGTTTTTGCTCAAAAAGTCTGATTCCCTCTCTTGCAGCCCGAAATTGGGTTAAAACTAGGAATTCCCGACTCACATGGGCTGGGCCACACGGCCGTGTGGCATACCCAGTTGCCCGTGTGACTTCAAAACGCTGCGTTCCGATTAATTGCACTTCAGTCAACCTACACGGCCAGGGTCACACGGCCGTGTGGATCACCATGCCTGGCCGTGTGAAGCCTCACAGAATTCCACACGGCCAAAGCACTCCTTCACACGGCCGTGTGGATATCAGGGCAAGCCGTGTGAAGGCTCGCACAATCTCACACGGCCAAAGGGGTCACGTGCAAGGCCGTGTGAATTGTGGGTGTGCCCGTGTGACTTCCTTTTCGACTTGCCTCGAGCCCGATCTTCGTCCAATTGACCCCGAACTCGCTCCAAAACCTTCCTTCACTTGCTAGGACCTGAAATATCACAAACAAACACAACCTAGCGTGAAATCGGCCTAAAACACGAGAATTACCATCTCAAACGGCTCCAGAATAGGGGTAAAAACATGTGCAATTAACGGCTTATCAAACTCCCCCACACTCAACCGTTTGCTTGTCCCCAAGCAAACCAAGTCAGACACAAGGTAAGCTCACATATTTCAATCAACCAACATTGGGGACAAATCATATAGGCTCAGAACACGTGAATCGTACTGGTTTTCAAACATCAATACCTGACCAACTTCAATAGTAACCTGGACAACCACCACAAAGGACATTCGAGTGCAGCAAAATCGAGTAAAGGAAGAGTCTCCCTTCTGTTCACCAACCAACCTAGACTTCACTCAACCACTTACTCAAAACAGTCAACTCATGCATCCAACTCAAGACATCAGAATAGAGACCGAGCAATCTAGGTCCTCACCGGGGTACAAAAGTATATAGAATATGAAAATGAATCACTCACTCTCGACCAGTGGGGTCAGGACAATTTGATGCGAAAAGTGCGCATGTTATTTCTCTCAATCCCTAACATCTCTTCACCATGATGGCAGCCTCTAAATGCTAGAGTTCACATATGGGGTGTCACCACTAACTAATCAGGAGGTCTTAGACACAGGTTCAAATGACTGGCTAGGGTCTCGGACATGGGGAAAAGGCCTTTTAGGTGGTGGAAGTATTCATAGCACAAGGTTCCACATTTCCAAACCCACACAATCACAGTCAAACAAACCGGTACTTTCTTTCTGCTATTCTGCATTACTCAAATTCCGAGCACAAGAGCAAAGGAGGTCACATAAATACCAGTATTTCTAAGCCAGACTGCTAAGAAACACTACTTAATGGGCACTGTTCAGAATTTTGGTGGTAGCTCTCTTTTGCTTTCAGTTTTTCTTTGTTTTTCTTTCATTTTTTTTTTTTCATTTCTTAAGAGAACCACCACCTCTACACATTTACAAACACCTGCCCAACTTTTTAAGAACTACCTCCAACTCTCACATTATATTTAGCAGAAACAGCAGAGAACATGTAAAAATCACTCTGTGGAACCTTCTAAAAGATGCAAAAGGGTGACTTTTCATTGAAGACCGAAAGAAAGGATAATACACAGCTCAAAGGGGCTGACTAGGGGATATGACACATCAGGACAGTCAAATTTGGTCTTGGGCTAATCCTATGCCCCCATCATCTTAGCTAGTGACAACGTGAATGCTACACATCATGGAAGAGGGATCTATCGCACAAGAAAGAAACGAGCAGGCTCAAATCTCACATGGCTACCTATATGCTCTATCTCACATTCTGATACCCTGAACTAGATGCATAAACGACTTTCAAGAACAAGTAATCAATCCAAGTCACAGTTGGTAGGCAAACAGTTGAAAAACTGAACCCCTACACAATTCTACTGCCCGTCTCAGTCCTCATCATAGGTTGTCCTAGTCACAATCAAGTTGTCATGCATCAATCCGAAAACTATTCAATTCACCAATCAAAACACAATGCCAATATGATCAAACAGCAGTACTTGGAGCCTCAAATCATAAGATTCGGACAGCGGACTAGGCTCCAAGCACCCAAATATATATTCCAACCGATACAAAGCACCCCCCCCCCCCCCCCCCCCCACACACACACACACTTAAGCACGACATTGCCCTCAATGGAGTAGAGGGAGAGATAAGGGGAACGATGTTACCGGATTGAAACAAGTTGGGGACTGGAAGTGGACCAGTCAGCGAGAAACAACCGGGAAGATGGACAGTTCTGCACGAATCGAACACCAAGAACACACTAGCACACGTTGTCTTAGGGATGAGTGTTAGCCCAGACGGCTACAGCAAAAACAATCCACAAAAGAAAAGAAACAAAACAAAAACAAACGACACTAAGTTCAAGCTCCTCACACATGGAGCAAACACACACAAGTCTAAAACGAAAAACAAAACACACTGAGATGGGCAACGAGTACAGCCTACTCGTCGCCGAGGTTGTCCAGATCGATGTCATTCATGAATGCATCATCGTCATCAGCGGGTGGAGGTGGAAGTGGGGAGTCCTCCCAGGGAGTCCTCTAGACGGGCTGCTCGCCCTGTAGCAGCTGGAGCAGATGCCCCTGTACCTCCTGCATGCGCCTAGCTCGGGCCTGCTCCCTCTCGATGCGCGCCAAGGCTATCCCCTGCTGGGTCTCCATCCTGTCCAGGCGCTCATCATACGCTGCCATCTTGGTCTGGTACTCGGCATGGTGAGCCAAGTACTGCTGCTGAAACTGCATCTGACAGTCGTAGAGTTGCTGATTCTGGAGCCGCAGCTGCTCGAACTGCTGAGAGAAGTAGTCCTGGCCGGGGAAGCTGGAACTGCCACCCCCGTACTCGAAGGTGGTGGGGCGGGCGACAGCAGTATCATCCACGTCCTCGGGCTGGACCTCCTCATCAGCTGCACCCTCTGGAACCTCCGGCTGGACCTCCTCTGGGATCTGAGGTTGAGGAAACCCCTCGATCCTCATGACACCTCACTCTTCCCGAAGCAGTTGCATTTTGTTGATCGTAAACCTGCCAAAGGGAGTGGTCTCTCCCTGCTCTGTGCACCCCTGCAGGGATATCTGGAAGTGGTCTGCCAGGCGGGTGATGAGGGGAGTGCAGTGGAGTTTCTTCAGCTCAGAAGCACTCTTCTCGAAGGTCCTCGCCACCACCGAGCCCAAGTGGAGGGGATGATCCCTCTGGCGCATGGACTGGATGAAGTATAGGGATCTCTTGGTGATGGTGCTGGCACTGTCTGAGGCTGGGGTGTAAGACTTGGCCAGCATGTGATGGAGGATGCGGTTGTCGAGCTGCAATGTGCTGGCCTTCGTCTTCCCCGCCTTGAAGGGAAGCTGACGTGGCCGAGCAAGGCTGAAGTATAGCCTCCCGAAGTCCACCCCCGCTGGCTCGGCGCTCTCGGTGAGGTAGTCCCTGTCATTGACCAGGTTGAGGCCGAGGGCGTTCGCCAGCTCGTCGTAGCTCATGGATCGTGGTACACCGCCGAGCCGGAACTGGACGGCTTCTTCGTCCTTCCAATCGTCAGTGGCTGCGTGCTCGAAGGTAGTGTAGAACTCGAGCACGAGCTCATGGTACACCTTCTCGCGAATGCTGAGTAGGCGGCGCCAGTAGCGGTTGGTGACAACGGGGGAGAGGTGCTCGTAGCAGTTCAGCTTCTCCAACTCTCGCTTGGACCAGTAATGATGCTGCCCAAACATGCAGGCCAGGACGTTCTTAAAACGATCCTGGTGGGGTCCCCTTCTCAAATCTTGAACATATTGATGCCGGAGGTTGGGCTTCGACATGGTCCTGCAAAAGAACAGCCCAAAGTGGAACCAAAAGAGCCAAGGAAAATGTTAATCACACCCCCACACTTAAGAACAGAAAACAGCCTAACCATGGTTTCATCCATAGTTCGGGGGTCAAAAACTAGATAAATCAAGCATAATCTGAGTGGGGGTGCACATCCATGAACAAGTAGGCAACTCAAAGTTCACATCCAAAACAAACACACCCCCAAAGCACATCATTAAGGGTCCCAACCGACTCCCACAAAATGGTACGAAAACAGGCATTTCATCGAACACCTTGTGTTCACTATTAAGGTAAACATGGAATTGGCAAAATTCTTGCACACAAGGCCTCAATCAAGCAAGGGGAACAATGCCCAACACAATTCATACATAATCCAAGCATTCCCCTCAATCAATTTCACAAAATTCTCATGATTCAAAGGGGTTCTCTAAACATGCACCCTAACACCCGATTCTCCATGAAAAACATAGTTAAGGTCAAAATCAACCCTGGAGACTCAAGTAGAGGTGTAGAGGATGATGAGGGGAATGCAATGGAAGCGACGAAATGCCAAAAAAAACTGCCAGGAAGTGCTCGTCGGAGCCTCGCCAGAGTCTCGCCGGAAATCGCCTCCGGCGACTCAAAATCAAGCCAAATCACCCCAAAAGCGAGGGATATGCCGATTAAGGGTAGGAAAGGGTGGGTGTGGTGTTGGATTTGTGAAAAACCGACCAAAAATGGCCGAAAATCGACAAGGAGGGTGAAAAGTCGTAGTTTTCCGGCGAGGGGGAGAGGTTTCCAGCGAGTGGATTGGAATTTTCTGACGACTTGGCCGTGTCGGCCGAATTTATAGGCCGAGTCTCGGCCACACGGCCTGGCTCACACGGCCGTGTCAAGAGAACTTTTGCCCGTGTCGGCCGACACGGTCTGGCCGAGGAATTTCACTCGGCCGTGCCGAGTGAACATTTGCCCGTGCCAAATTATGTGAGAGCAAACACGGCCAGGGCAAATTTCCACACGGCCGTGTCACCATCTCATCTGGCCGTGTGGAATTCTGCGAGAGCTCACACGGCCTAACCTATTTTCCACACGGCCGTGTGACATTCAAGGCTGGCCGTGTGAGCTTCCAGAACTTCGAAATTGACCTGTTTTCACTCCAGAATGACATACAACTCGTGAACAACCCCTCAAGACTCAAAAAACACAAAAAATCAAAAGGAAAAAGGTAAGAAAATGCAAACCTAGGTGGGGTTGCCTCCCCACAAGTGCTTCTTTACCGTCTTTTAGCTGGACGCCAGTTGGTGGATGCTCAATGAGGTGAAGGAGCAGGTGTCTTCAAGAGCGGATCCACCTCGCTCTTGAGGTACAGCTTCAAATGGTGGCCATGCACACGCCGAATGTGGCCACCAGCATTTGCCAACTCAACTTGGCCATCCGGTAGGATGCAAGCGAGTGAATACTCGGATGGCCAAGGTGGGGGCGGGACCAGCTCATAGTGGTCTCCGGCTTTCTTTCGAGCAGGCTTAGCTGCCTGCTGTTTCGGCCGCCACTCCTCCCTTATTTGTTCCTTCGATGACGGAGTGGACGGGAGTGGCGGCGAAGGTATGGGAGGCAGATCCTGCAAAATAGGCAACACAGAAGGATACACGACAGACTCGTGCTCCTGGTGAGATACAGCATGCAAAGGCGAAGAAGCAGGGAGAGTATTAGTAATTGAAAATGTTATTCGCTCCTCACCATCCCTCAAAACTAAGGTCCCATCATGCACATCTATGAGGGCCTTGGCGGTGGCCAGGAAAGGCCTTCCCAGTATCAATGGCACATCCACATCCTCATTTATGTCCAAAATCACAAAATCAACAGGATAATTGAATTTGCCAACCTTAACCAGAAGGTCTTCCACTATGCCCCTAGGATGCACGGTAGATCGGTCAGCTAATTGAAGGCTCATCCTAGTAGCACGGGGTTCACCTAGGCCTAGTTTCTTAAACAGTTTATACGGCATAACATTGATACTAGCACCTAAATCCGCCAAGGACCTCTCTACATGCAAATTATCTATAGAGCACGGGATAGTAAAACTACCTGGGTCCTTCTGCTTCTATGGAAGCTTGTTCTGCAGAATGGCCGAGCACTCCTCGTTAAGCTCCACAGTGGCCAGCTCGCTCAGCTTCTGCTTCTTTGAGAGAAGATCCTTCAGGAACTTCGCATACTTAGGCATTTGAGATAGTGCCTCTAGGAAAGGTACTTGGACATTCAGCTTCCTAAGCATGGCCATGAAGTTCTTGAACTCTGCCTCCAGCCTGTCTTTGTGCAACCGAGTAGGGAAGGGGAGTTTAGGGATATACTCCTTCACTACTGGTTGCGGTTTAGGTGCAGGCACCTCAACCTCCTTCTCTGCTTCTTCTTCAGTCACTGGAGATGCCGAGGCAGGGGCCTCTCTCTCTTGTGCCCGAGCAGGTGGATAAGGAGTCATCTTGCCACTCCTGGTTATGATGGCATTGCAGTGCTCATTCGGGTTCTGAGGGTGAGGGATGGTCTGACCGGGCAAAGTACCAGGAGCCCTTTGTGCCACTGCTTGAGCCACACTCCCCAGCTGGGTTTGGATATCCTGCAAGACAGCCTGTGTGTTCCTCTGGCCAGCTTCAAGAGCCAGGAATTTACCCGATGCCTTTTCCATGAACTGCTCCATAGTGTTAAATTTTTTAGCACTAGAACTGGCGAGAGAACCCACCAATTCCCGCAGTTCAGCCATCTGATCATTCTGCACTGGGGCGGCAGGGGCTGCACCTGGCTGCTGGAAAGGTCGCGGCTGTGATGGATCAGCATGCCCCTGCATGGGCTGGCAGAGAGACTGTTGCTGCTGGAATTGCCCCTGTCTGGGCTGATATGGTGGCCTCTAGAAGCCCGGTGGTCCCTGGGGGACTGGTGGTCTGGAATTTTCCCCACCCCAGGAGAAGTTGGGATGCTGGCGCCACCCCTCATTGTAGGTGTTACTGTAGGGGTCATTGCGCCTGACATTGTTGATGAAGTTCACCTGCTCCTGGGGTGTGGTCGATTCCTTCATCGCCTGGCAGTCTTCCATTGTATGATGGGTGCTCTCGCACCACTGGCAGAGCATCGCCTGCTACTGTCCGGTCCCTGGAATCATCCCGGAACGATCGATAGCTGAAACCAGCTTCGACACCACCTGCACCAAATCAGAGGAATGGTTTCCCACAGAATGTACACCTCGGCTTGGTGCTCTCCTCGACCTCCTCGCAGTGCACCAATCATACCCGTTCTCTGCCATCTCCTCAAAGAGTTTATTCAGTTGTGGCGGTGTTTTAGTTAGCATGTTCCCGCCACAAACTGAGTCAATCAGCTGCTTATCTTCTGGGAAGAGGGCATGATAGAAGGTTCCCACCTTGAAAGCATCGTTGAAACCATGATTGGGACACCTCAGGAAGAGACTGTTGTATCTCTCCCAAGCATCCCGGATAGTCTCATCTTCATCCTGGGTGAAGTGGGTGATCTGCTTCTGCAAGTCCGCCGTCTTCGACGGAGGATGGTAGCGGGTAAGGAACTTGTCCGCCAGGTTGGCGAACGTGGTGATGGAGCCCGGAGGTCGAGTGTCTAGCCACTCCTTGGCCTGCCCCTCCAGGGTGAATGGGAAGTACCTCAGCTGGATGGCATCTGCTGGGACCCCGTTGATCTTGATTCCATCGATGAGCTCGTGGAATCTCCTGAGATGTGATCAGGGGCACTCCCCCTCTTTGCCACGGAACACCACTGAACCGTGCAGCATGGTGATTACTGAGGTGCTCACCTCAAAATTATTGGCTGGGACATGAGGGTGTTGAATGGGTGACCTCATGTCTGCAGCCCTGGCGGTCCAGTAGGATCCCATGGTCTGCTCCCCAGGATTGACCACATCATGGTCTTGTGGATCAGCCATCTCCTCCTCTTCAGTGATCTGTAGCTGTGCTAGCGCCTCCTCCGCAGCCAGTCGCGCCTTTAGAGCCCGCTTGAAGTTTCTGCAGGTTCGTTCAAGCTCCTGGTCTAGTGGTAGTAGATCTCCCGACTGGCTACGGGTCATGCACTACCTGCACACAAACAGCAGAAACAAACCTTGAAGGCACACAGGTGGAAGAGATAAAATGCAGTAAATAAAAAGCTAGAGTAACAAATTCTCACATTTCCCCAATAACCTAGAGGGTTCCCCGGCAACGGCGCCAAAAACTTGATGCTCTAAAACACAACACCAATCTGCGACCAAGTGTAATCGCAGACCGGGAATGCAGTAAAGTGACAAGTGATATTATCAACCCGGGGTCTAGATCTACTGCTTACTCAGTGATTATCTATTATCTAGCCAACTAAAGTAAGTGATTGTTGTTTAAAAGCAAAAGCAAAAAGAAAGCAGGAATTGGTACGGTTTTCTCAAGCAGGTAAGAGTCACTCGGGAATGAGTCCCCCTAGCTCCTTAGTTAGGTTTCAATTGTATTTCCCGGGGTTGATTTACTGTTGATTAGACTGCGGAAGATCCGACAGTAGCTTGGAATCTCTTAAGCTGACCAAGCCCTCTCAGTCTGACTACCCGGCAGACGACTAGTCTTCACCGGGATAGAAAGCTGAAGCAATAAGAACAGAACTCCACTACTGGAATTCGATTCCAGTACAAAGCAGTAAACTGGCTAACTCTCGTATAGCCAATCTCCTACTACCGAATGATGAGACTCTAGCAACCTAATCAGTTTCTATCTATCTCAGGTTGCAGCAGGAATCAGGAAAAGTTGATCAGACTTCAATTGACTCAATACACATGCATCATTCGATTAAAATCAAACAGTAATATCATCCCAAGTCATTACAATCAATCCCTAACACATAGAACTAGGGTTCTTCATCCCCAAGTGAGAGAGGGGTTCTACTCCATAGAGAGAGAGAGAGAGAGGAAAACAAGGTACAAAGCAGTCATACTCATTACAATGGGAAGAATCTGCTCTGGGATGATGATTTCCACTCCTATGACGATCTCCAAGCTTGATTTGACGAAACCCAGCTCCAAGATAGCTTCTAGGATGTGTTCTTCGTACTTTCTCTCTCTAGGGCTCTGTTTTTGCTCAAAAAGTCCGATTCCCTCTCTTGCAGCCCGAAATTGGGTTAAAACCAGGAATTCCCGACTCACACGGGCTGGGCCACACGGCCGTGTGGCATACCCAGTTGCCCGTGTGACTTCAAAACGCTGCGTTCCGATTAATTGCACTTCAGTCAACCTACACGGCCAGGGTCACACGGCCGTGTGGATAACCATGCCTGGCCGTGTGAAGCCTCGCAGAATTCCACACGGCCAAAGCACTCCTTCACACGGCCGTGTGGATATCAGGTCAAGCCGTGTGAAGGCTCGCACAATCTCACACGGCCAAAGGAGTCACGTGCACGGCCGTGTGAGTTGTGGGTGTGCCTGTGTGGCTTCCTTTTCGACTTGCCTCGCGCCCGATCTTCGTCCAATCGACCCCGAACTCTCTCCAAAACCTTCCTTCACTTGCTAGGACCTGAAATATCACAAACAAACACAATCTAGCGTGAAATCGGCCTAAAACACGAGAACTACCATCTCTAACGGCTCCAGAATAGGGGTAAAAACATGTGCAATTAACGGCTTATCACTCGGTGTAAACGAACATCTCGGCTTTGGAAAGTTTGTTGGACCTCAAGAATTCGAGCATGGCATCTACCTCATCTTGAGTGGTTATGAGATATTCCTCGTGCCACAATGACCCGCCTTTTCTGTTTGGATATCGGTACACCATATGATCAACTCTTCTCGTGCCATCCATGCAAGTAACGTTAGTACACATTTGATAGAGGTCTTCAAACATCGTTCTGGTAGCGACCTTTATTTTCTGAAAATTGCCACCGACGTAGGTGACCCCCTTTCCGCTCTCTTCCGTGTAACCATTCCACCGTAACACAAGCGTGAACTTTTGGAATGTCATCTGCAAAAAAAAAATAGTTCAACTAATATTATAAAAATCACATTTCACAATAAAAAGTAATACAAAAAAAAACTTACGAGTTAACGTTAACCGAAAAAACACTAGAGAAATATGGAGCTACAATAGAAAATTGAAAAGGGGGAAGGAGAGGTGTGGAGAGAAGAAGATTTCCCGGCTGCCTTTTATAGGCAAAATCATCAATGAAAACCTCACCTTAGAGGTGCGTTTTTCATCTGCCATGCAGCCCCACGTCTGTGAATCTGCATGGTTGCTTGTCTAGTGTCGGAAAATAATTGACACACAAACCGCACTTGGGGGGTGCGGTCTGTGTGGCAAAACCGCACCTTGGGGATGCGGTTTTGCCAAGTCAGCCCAAAACCGCACCTCGGCCAAGCGGTTTTTGTAGGTCAGACCTGAAACCGCTTGGCCAAGATGCGATTTTGGCCCAGGATAATAAACCACACCTTAAAGATGCGGTTTATCTGTAAAACGCACCCTCCAGGTGCGGTTTACATATAAAACGCACCTCCAGCTGCGGTTTACATATAAAACGCACCTTGGAGGTGCGGTCCATAAAAAAAGGGTGCTATTTTTGTAAATATTTTTGGCTGGATGCTATTTTTGAATTTTTTTTAAAGGTGCTATTTCTGGAAAAATCCCGCAAAAGTCTCCCTTCCCATCCGTGAATTACTATTATAATAGATTACTATTATTGAACTAACAATACGGATGGGTTACGGAAATCATGAACGATTAATTAATTTCTTAATTATCTATATATAACTGGATTTTTAATTAATCATTAAATTTCTTTAATGTCACCCTTGATGTTCATTTTGAACCAGGTAGGTTGATCCACTGAAAAGAAAACAGATTGCTCCTGGGCTGGAACCATTTTCTCCCAGATTTTCCTTGCCGCAGTACAGTCTCTAAGACAATGCAAGTTGGTCTCAATGGTATCTGAGCATAAAGGGCACTTGTCATTTGCA